TGTAGAAAGAAAAGAGTACTCTTGAACTAGACCTTTCAAACAATTGTCTCATCTTATCCCACAGGGTCACTTCCCTTTCTGTCGTTTATTTTCAATTTACAATCATTGCTATTTTAAACGTAATTTAAATGATTATTTTGTACTGCGCATTTAAGGCAAGGATTGTTTTGTAATTAAATCATTTAATTGCAAGCATTGTTGTTGTTATTTATATTTAATTTAAGTAAGTAAAATAAAAAGACTGAGATGAAATTTTGAATTCAACAGAGTTAGAATCTCCCTTACGCAGAGTTAGTAATTTCATAGAGTCCATTTTCTTGTCGAAGCCCACAGATTCAGATTAAACTGATGCTCTGTTCCGATAGGACAGTACTGGCAAGAGTAGTCATTATCGATTACTATATGCTGTCTATCTACCAACACTAGAATCTATATAAGTAGATCTCTGACTGATTAGATGCCAATTTAGTTAGATAGCCTGTCATTTATAAGTATTTTTACTAGATGTTGATGTTGATCCTTTTTTCGAGTCAGCGCAACTGAGCACTTTTACTCTTTGATAGCTGGGGGTACTACAGGGTCCCACCCATCTCATTGACTAATTTATGTATTCCCTATAAGCTTTATGATTATTTAGTGATTGATCTAAGATCTACGTACCTCCCCGTGTGGAGAGTGATTACTCTAAGATTAGATAGTGCTAAGTAGGATAACCTGTCAGTTTTCGCATATAACTTCAGGGCTCTGTCCCTTATGTATTTTTTGATTGGGTCTATTCTAAGATCTCTTAGCATGTCGTTTGTGCGGATGTACCAAGGCAAGAGTCTTCGGAGAGCCTGACTTTGAGCAACTTATAACTTTTGTATAGTAGAGTCGGCAGCTTTGCTATACGCGACACACCCATAAAATAATGCTGGTCTAATTATCTGGCTATAGATCTGTTTTATGTTCTTCGCGCTAAGGTTGTTGTGTTTGAAAAGTGGTTGTAAGCATTGCACTGTTTTAACCCAACTGTTCTTTTTACTAGAATTGCCATATGTGTGAGCAGAGCATCCGTTGAACTTAATCTGTAGGATTTGATAGAAAGTACCAATAAATTTCTCTAAAGACTAAAAAATGCTGGCTTATAACTATTGCGTTAAATAAAACCTACTTTAAAGGTTAAAGATACTTTTTTGACTACGTGTAATACAACATTTCTTAACTTACTTATTTTAATTTCTTGAAGTAATTAAAAATCAATTTTTTTATATATAATCCTTAGAAATTCCATTTTTCAATTATTTAAAGTAAACAGCGATTTTATGCTTTATTAATAAATTATAGTTTTTTTAATCAAACCGATTTATTTTATTCAAAATATGACTACTTCTGACTTAATACAGCAATTTGTATGGGTTTAAAAACATATTAAAAGAGTACTTCAGATCGTCAACGAGATGTCCTTTAAGGTATACCAATTTCTAAAATGGCAATATTTGACCTAGTGAAAGAAAACGGGATATATCGTACAAGATGCAACCGCAAGCTAGAACGGCTAGCTGAAGGTGATACAATTAACAAATTTTTCTTTATAAATTAGCAGCGATTAAGATGGGTTGAACATGTTATAAAAATGCCGGATATGAGAGTACCGCTTAAGGTTTATGACAAAGAAGTAGGAACCAGCAGTATAAGTGGACGACCAAGAACAGGATGGAAAGACAATGTGCAGCAGGATTTAGAAAAAATGAACATAAGAAATTGGAAAACAAACGCAAAAACCAGAAAAGAATGGAAGGATGTTGTTAAACAGGCTTATGTTCTATATGGAGTGTATAGTCACGGATGATGATGATGAATTTTTTAAATGGCAGTCTGCGAATAAAAACATATGAAATAAGTATTTCAGATCTGCAAACGGGATGTCATTCAGAATGTACCAAATTTTTAAATCTGCTTAAATCTGCTTAAATTGGCAAATTAAATCCATTTGCCGAAAAGGTTAAGGTAGATGTACCATATTAGATGTATATAGAGATTAGTTGACGTTCCGATGCATATAATTGCCATAAGATAGCCTCACCTCAAATATCTTTTCCCTACAAATACTGTTTACTTCCAATGCATCCCTATATATATAGAATAATGACTTTTATAGATTTCATACTTAATTTAAAATCTTATTGGCGAGCATGTGGGAAGAAATATAATTCCATTTTTTTACATTAACTTTCATTAGCCTCCCTTTTTAACAATTTCAATTCCAATTACTCGAACTTTTTGTGCTAATTTATCCGATTGAATTGTTTGGCTTTTAATGTAAAGTAATGACCTCAACAAATAATCTGCGAGAGGGTAAACTCAACAAATATAGATTCTTTCAAACTGCGTTCTCCGTTGAGGGTTGAAGTCAATGCTGGTTTAGTGACCGTGGAATATTCTACTTATGTTAATTTATTTAAAGTTAAATTAAAATTGTGTTTTAATGTACAATTATTTCAATTTGTATCTGTTAAGGACAACTAGGCCACGACAATTAACCAAAAATTAACTTGTGAAAAAAACCGCTTAACTTAATTCCATTTTTTTGGAGCCATCTACAATAACCAGAACAACGTCTTATCTGTTGGATGCAGTCAAAGTTTATGGCTTAACCACCAGAAGTCGTTATTAATTTTGCTGACTGAAAATATTTTATATTATTAAATTTAGTGATAAGATTTCTTGGAGGTACTATTGGGTCTGTTCAACGAGCCACTTGTAGTAAATTTGAGTAACACTGTGTATACACAAGTGCGTTCCGCCAGCAAATTTTGGTGTATTTTCGTGTAAATTTTACTTGTGATTTACTTGTGGAACTAACCTATTATTTTAACAAAAGTTCAGAATAAATTTTTCACTTAAACAGCTTACTTCTTTTTTAACTTGATTCGTATACTTTCCACAACTTAATTAAAATTAATCATATGTAATGAACTTTGCTTTTTATTTATAAGGTTCATAATGAACATCGATGAATTTCAATCTTTCCAAGCTTTAAACTAACCTCACTATACATTTCATTATTCAGGTGGATGGCTTTAAAACTGAGGAAGTAAAATAAGCTACTAAACCTGGCTCGTAGACAGAAATTTACTTGGAAGGGATGAGAAATTCTGAATCGACTATATTTTTATTGGTGATTTAATTTTGCCATGATGTATTAATAATAAATATTCAAATATATAGTCCTCAATTCATTTTGCTATCCTTCATGCCCGCCTTGGCCTCGTATATGCTCTTAACACATAGTTAAGCCCTAAATAAAAAATTATAAAAACACATGAAAATATATTTGCCAAAGCTATGACGATGAGAAGAAGAAGGGGGGTGTAAGCCACATTTTGCTCTAACTATCACAGGACTTTATAATTTCAAAATGATGTCGATAGATAAACTAATAACCTCTATCAACATCCATCTAAATATTGGGAAAACTCATCAAGGAAACGAAATGGTATTCAATTGAATAGAGAAAAGAAAATACACTATAAACGTTATCAGAATTAGGCAGTAGAAAATTGGTATTACCTAACTTTACAAAAAGTAAAGTATCTTTTTTGACAGGAATAGGTTTTTTGAAATACAAACGAAAGTAGTTAAAAATAAGATATTATTTATAAAAATGTTTTACTTAATATCAAGTTTCTGATGTTTTCTCATCTAATGCCCGAATTATCTGTACTTTAGCTATTGATCGCGTCCTCATGAATCGATATCATTTTCCGTCAAATAAAACTTACAAAGTACAGAAGTTTATGAACAAAGGTGCTTATAGTGAGGCCATCTATTAGCAATTACATGCAGTTTCCTCATGATGAACTGTCATAATTTCATGACATTAGAAAGGAAATAAAATCAATTCAGACGTAATATGACAAAATATTTTGGTTATCGGTACAAAAAATAGTATGTTTAATTTCTACCGAAATAACCAAGTTTATGGCAATTATTAAAGTTAATGAATGCAACTTAAAGTAGAGTAGAGTAGAGTAGAGTAGAGTAGAGTAGAACAAAACTGTTAAATACGAAGAAATTAAAACTTTAGATGATTTCATCAAAGATCAGTCAAACTCTTTATTGAAATTCAAAGAATTGGATTATTACATTTAATTAATAGATTAATTAATAATAAATTTTAATTGATAAAACTTTGCATGATTTTACAAAAATCCAGTCAATATCTTGACTAGAATTTATCGTACTGGATTAGTGCATATTGATTTATAGCATTTAGATCAAATACTTGGCCTACCGAAAATTGTGTTTAATTAACATCTAAACATTACTAAAAATTCAATATTCTGAAAATATCATCTAAAATATCTTACAAATTAAATAACTGACGATGAATCACAAAATTCCAAAATTCTTATTTCGAATCCCAAAATATCTCATTTGGAGAAATACAAACTAAAAATAATGCTTATTTGACCTCACGAACTGCACGGCTCAATTTACAAGGCTGGACCAAAACCTTAATTGAGAATTTTATATAGCCATTTGAAAGACTCAGTTTATCGTATTCGTTGTCTATGACCAGAATATCACGTAAAAGAAAGTCTTTTGTTTCTCAATAATGAACCGTCTTGTAGACAGACAATTCTGACTGCTTCTCCAACTAAAAATCACATTATAACTTTTAACTTTCTTCAGTACTCACCTGGTTTGTTACCATGCGACTTTTTTAAAACAAAAAGACGGCTATCCAAAAGTCTTGTATCTTTTCCACTGGATAGTTCTTAAGGAACTACCTAAATGCTATGAGAAGTATGTAGTTAATCAACGATAATTCAAGCAGATCTACGTACGAACGAAATTGGTGGTCTCAGCATTAATACCTATTTTTAAAAAATTCTATTCACTTTGGAATGCAACTTGTGTTCAAAATACATCTTAGTTGGCTACAATTTTCAACATAAATAATATCTTAGTAATGTTATTTCAATAATTTTTATTCTTAAACTAATACAGAAAGTTTTAAACCATTTTTTTTCTGATTATATTATTATATCGATCATTTGAAAAAAAGCCTTATTTTCTATATACTAAATTAGATTATTGTGTAAATAGAAATTTGATTGATTCTAAGCAACTTCTATAATGGATAAAAAGGAGACAGATATTGGTGAGGAAAGAAAAAATTCAATTGTTCAGTTTTACAAAAGTCTTGGTTTCGTAGATTACCTCAAGCAAGGGGCCATGCCAAAAGTTCGCATGAATAATCCAGGATCCAAGAATCCAGCTGAAATGGAAGCTGACAAATCAGTTGAAATTGACGAAACTATTAATGTTAATGCTGAGCTCCAAATGCATCATGTTAATGTAATTAACATATGTTTCAATTACGCTAATATCTAATATATATTTTATTTCTATGCAAGCAGGATGGGTTTTCTGAACCACTGGTCAAAAACGGTAACACTGCCAGCAAACCCCAAGATGCAATAGTTTCAGACAATCAACCTGTCGCAAAAAGTAAGCCAATGCTTGAATGGATGAAGCCTATATTGAAAGTAATTGCTATAAAAATAATCATTGCCATAGCATGTTACATCTTACTAACATTTATTGATCAAATGCAGAATTCTTATAAATAACCAATTATATTTTACATTAAGATTTTTAAAATTAAATAAATTTGTTTGTCGAATGCAACAGCACAACGTAATATATTGAGGGAATTCACTTTGTCTTGCAAAGTCATTGCAAAGTGCACTAAATGCAAAAATGGTATACTTAAATTGCAAGAGTGCGAGAACACCTCTGTTGCAGAATTGCAATATCAAAATGAAACAGTCGTTCTTACCACATCTAAATGAGAAGCAACAAATGTCAAAACAGCTGTTTTTTCCCCTGTTTTGTTTCGTTGCAAGCATATATACATTACTTAAAGTCTAGTAAGATTGCAAGAAATTGCAAGAAACTTTGTGCATGTATTTCGTTGTTGTCCAATGCATGCTAGCGCAATCTATGCATTTCGTGCACCTTGTAATGAGTTTGCAAGACAGAGTGAATAAACCTATTGTATATTAAGTATTTCATGCAATTAAAAAAATAGGTCTAGACGTAAATTAATGCCAACGCTTCATCGTTATTTATTACTATTATATAGTTTGTATTAAAATGAACCTATTTTCCTATTACACATGAAGCTATTTCTTATAGTTTCTTACCTTAGCTTTTAAATGATTCATTTGTCTTTATCACTTTCTCCAATTATCGAAATCCTATGAAAGTAACCCTTAGTCCTTGCTGGATTACTTTATTAGTTCCCTTCTGTTGTTTTATTTTTGTTTACTCGGACCGACAAATGAAGTTTGATCACAAAATAGTACCGACAAATGAAGTTCCAAACTAAACTGCGAAATTAATATCTTTAAAAAGGGAATTCACTTGGTTTATAGTAATATTATTTGAATAGGAAATAATATTATTTATTATGTGGTTTATTTACTTTAATAGGGTTACTCTTTCAGTTACTCTTTAAAAAGTATGGCTGTAGTTGTATGTTCAATCCCTCAAAGAAATAATAAGTAACTTTTTAGACACTATAACGTGAGTTTAAGTTCCAATCACAAAAAATCTATTCTCTATAACTTTATTCTCATCTGGTAGGAAACACCTGTTTAAAATAATTTTTCATTGCCAACGCTGAAATCATAAAATTATTATAAACCTATATCATAAAATTATAACTCATCTTCACTTCACAGTTAAAAACGGTTATAGGATACTTTACGATACTTGGTATAAAAGTATATAACAGACACTCTTTGGAGGTAGAAATAGGGAAAATTTTCACTAAATTAATATTGTCTCTAAAGAACAAAAATTAGTTAGAGAATATTCAAGCTCAGTCCTAAAAGTGGCAGATATACACAAATTTTGATATTTAACAAATAATTGTCTTCCATACAAGTTAATCATACACAAAGTACATCAGTGGACCCAAGGAAATTTCCATTTTACTTCAACAGTTTTAATTTTCTAACGATTTACTAGAGTTTAATTAAACTTTATGGTATTAAAAAAGCAATATAAATTAAGATTATTTTAGTCTTTGTCTAGCTCATGCACGGCCACGACTCAACACTTTAAGAACCCCCTTTCTTAAGGATCTTGATTAATTGCAATACCTCCCATTTAACAGTAGTAGTATTAGCAAAATATGACATTTATATCAATCATCTTTTATATGTTGCAGAATTATTATAGTTAATTTATATTTATTTATAAAAATAACAGTTTTAAATACTTATCAATTAAAACAAGAGCTTCAAAGAACTTGATTACGTATATCTAACTACATATAATTTGATATATAAAAGCTAATACCGTTTGTAAAGAATATGAAATCCAAGTTAAATAAATTTATAAAATTAACCTCTATGTGCATTTAGTACACAGTATAACTAGTATAACTAGTATAACTATTTGTTAGTAAGTTTTTTAATAGAAATTAATATTATCAAAGTAATACATATTTTTAAATATATTTCACATCTTACCGGTACTATCACGAAGCTACATCTGGTACTATGTATTTAATTGTTTAAAAAATGCAACACAAATATCTTAATAATTACATACATTAATATATATAATTTTAAAAAGTTTTAAAAATTTTACATATTTACTAGCAATATTTTACCAAGAAATACATTTTTAATTTTAGTTTTAATTCTAAATTTATTTATACCACAATGTCAGCATAGTTTGCTTTAAAAACTATATTTTTAGTAATTAAATATATATCAATAATTAATATATACTAACTGTTTAACAATTTTTAAAATAATTAGTATTCACTGATATATGTCAGCCCACACCTAGCTACCAAAAATAATTTAAATACATTTTAAATCCTATATATTTTTATATGGTCACAAAATTTACATCTGTCATTTTAAATTATGTTGATTAAAGAAAAGAGCATAATACTATTACCACAATATGTTTTACATATATATAAAATATATATATATATAAAATAGTTACAATATAATATAAATATAAAATATATCTATATATAAAATATATATATATATAAAATATATATATATATAAAATAGATACAATGTAATATAAATATAAATATAAAATATATGCAATAAAAAATATATACAATATAAAATACAAACAATATACAATATATGCAATATAAACTATAAACAATACAAAATATATGCGAAATAAAATATATATAAATTTAATATATTTAAAATGTATATGTATTATACATATATGTATTTATTGACAACAAATTAGAAATAAAATAGGCAATAAATTTTAACTGTGAAACACTTTCAACCATACAATTAATTTTCTTATAAATAAATCTCTACAATCACTATATATACATTTGTATACATATAATTTTAATTGTTTGATTGAATTTTTATGCTACACTATACGACATTCATGAAAATTATATATTACAATTATAAACAACTTTGTGTGTGTAAATCTCTAAAAATTATTTCTTTTATTAATACTAAGATATATTTTTTTAAATGCCGTAATTTTTATAATTGCAAAAAATAAATTCCTAATTTCAGCTAAGAAAATTATATCAACAAAAGATACATGGACCTAATCCCTTATAATTTTATCAAAATATGTAACTTATATATAAATTTTAACCTAAACAAAGTAGTTTTAGTAAAGACTAAAGCTTGTTACTAGCAGTCACTGTTAGTGTTGGAGCAAGATGACCATTTTGCGGTTGAAAATTTAAAACTATATTACCCTCTGTAGTGCCAAAGTGCTCGAAACGGTGTAAACGTTTAGTATTGGCGCGAAATTCCGATGTAGATAAATTTGTGCGAATATACTTTGTTGCTGATCTAGGATCTTCTGCATATTTATCGTCTCCTATTAAAAAAAAAAGACCATTTAAATTTGTTATTACAAGAGCGTGCCATTATAATTATTAATATAATATAAAATATAATATAATTATTAACATAATATAAATCATAATTTTTATATTGAAACACATTGACGCTGAGCATCAAGGCGTTTTAATCCCGCCAAAAGCTCATTAACTTTACAACTCTAAAGAAATGGTTCGATATCATCTTTTTCGATGATATGATTTATCATCTAGTGCACATTAAATTAAATTACAGCAAGAATGTACCCAAACTGCAGCTCTACTCCCATCTGATATCAACCATCTGTTTTCCTCTCCCAGAACGCATACAAACCTCCATCCAATCGACCTTTTGACCCACCTCATTGAAGTGGCGAGGATTCTCCTTCTAGACCCGGGTTAATGTTCAATTTAAATCCCAATCAACCCATTATCCTCATTATCCCCTCCATCAGTACCCATTCACTTCCCCACCCATTTCTTTTATATCCTTTCATGTTATCTGCTTACAGGTTCCAGTAGGTTAAAACAACAACAACAGCAAGAATATACTCCTCCCAAAGGAACTACACAACGGAAACGGATAAAAAACTCCTTTAAAAATTTTAAGCATGTGAAAGCTTAAGGTAATATTAACATTTATGCTGATGTGCCGTACAACAGACAGTTACAGTGTGACTATCACTTCTTGAAGAAGTTTGCGACGAAAAATCTTTACCGACCATGTGAACTGAGGAAATTTTTGTTAACAAATGCTGACAATTGTCATACTTAACTCCCTAATAAATATCGCAGTAAAATTCTTATTCGATTCAATATAAAAATAATTGATACTTACCCGGATATGTAACAACCATGCCATCGGAACATAAATAAGGTACAGGCAAAAATAATGTAACACCTTTCTTGCTACGTTGTTTTGCAAATTCCTTCAAATCAAATAAATCCTTCACTGTAACAAAACGTGAAATTTCATAGATTTGCGGTGGCAGAAAGAACAGCTCTCCATCCTGTTGCATTTGCAGTAAGAATGTTGGTGGTTGCCACTAAAAAATATATTATTAAATATTTAGTTTAAATTTATTGACTTCGTGCAGTTTACAATGCATTCCTTAACTTCCGTAACTTCTATAAGCGTCGGCGGCTTCTCATTTAAAATTGCTATAAAAAATGCAGTTTCGACTCTATATACGATAGTATATATTCAAAAATTTAGTTTATTTATATTATAAAATACTGTACCACATACCGTTTTTTAACAGTAGCTGGGCTAGCCCAAGCACTCCATTCATACAAACTCCATAAATCAGGAACAACCTGTAACTCTTGACACAAGCGTAAAAATTCTTTAGGATCGTTGTGCACTAATTGTTGCCAATAATGCTTATCAAAACCGTCTTTAACAAACGTGAAGCCTTCGTTCATATGCAATTCGTGCTTGTTCCGGCACAACAAAACACCGACTTCCTCAAATGTTTCACGTATCGCAGTTATACGCAACGATATTTCTCTATAAAAACAATATTGGCGATTAAAACAAAGATAAAGATAGATAGATAGATTGTTTTACTTCATATACTTTGAACTTTGTACCTTGCCCAAATGCTGGAACGCTTGAAAAATCTGTCATAGCAACCATTTCCCTGCGGTGCTAATATAGCTGGCCGGTTATCACTTATAATGACTAGTTCTTTAAGCTGTTGCTGCGTCACACCGAATGCTTCAAAGTACTCTAGCCATTGAACGGATTCGTCAAAAGCATCGAACATGCCACCGGGAAAGACAGCTTGGTTCTCAAATAGTGCAGTACGCTCTGATCGTTTTATCATTAAAAGCTATTAAATATGATGTTATTTATATTTCTGCTTAATTAATATTTAAATAAATACCTTGTAATTATAATTATCATAACTATCATCTATTCCATTTCGCGCTGCCAAGATAACACTTGCAGAAGCAGGCCAACTTGTTGATTGTTGTCCTGACATTTTAGAAATATTGCATATTTTGAGCAGGTAATGAAAGTTTTAAGTTCAACGCGATAATGATTCAAAATAACATAATTTTATTCATTTATAAATATCACTTTTTAATCTACATCCCATTCCTACATTCGTTTTTATTTATAGCAGAAAACAGCTGATAATGTGTATGAGTGGGACAGGGTTAGCATATAAAAGTAATATTAAAACAGGGCTGCTTAAAAAGGGTTCCCAAGAATAAATATATGTTTCATATCAACAAAATATTTTTCTAAAATAATTTCAACTACCAAATGCATGCTCCATCTTTACTTGCTGTAACGGAAATATAAAAAATTCTATTAAAATTACACTAACAAAATCTAAATAGTATGGATTGCGTTTGTTGGCTTGGCAAATTGCTGTTACGAATTTGGGTAAAAGCTCTAAAAATCTAAGAGAGACTTGTGACATCTTACAGCATTTATTTTTTTTGTGTCCAGTTACTAGTTCATTCTTTAGTACGTTCCGAAAGCAAGAATAATAAATGCATATATAAAAAGAAGTAAGAAATAATAAATAATAACATTTATTATTTTTGCAAAAAGTTAGTAACTTGGCAGCATTCTTTTTGTGTTCTTCTTTTTTCTCTGTACTGTTCGTTTAAACTTTTCGCCACAATTCGCTGATTTGAATAATCAAAACAAAAAAACAAGAGAAATTCAAAAACTTTTGTGCATTTCTTTCATTTTAACTTGTGCGCACAATTTACACTTAAATCAAAGAATTTCTTTAAATTTAATAGTTTAATAAAAAAAATGAATCAGTGACGATAAAAAAAAATAATATAAAAGTAAAGATGGCAAGACAGAGAAGACAAAAAAAGCTTACACGAAGCGCCCATGTACAGGAAACTACCTGAGGAGAGTTAGGTACGGGTTAAGGTAACTGTTTGCATTTTTAATTTATTTTCTTTTAAGATTTATTTTACCATATATAGGTCTACATATCAGGCTGGATGGTGTCGATGTCGTCTGCGATATATTTGTAGAAACAGAAATGTAGGCTAGTATGATCTTTTTTTTTACCCTGAAAATATAAGTCGCATACTCTACTGACTGTGTTAGCTGGGCACTTTTACTTCTTGTTAAATTAATAGGATTTTATAAAAACTTGGTAATTCAAAATTCTACTTAATGACAACTAATTCTTAATTGAACTTCTCAACTGTGTAGTAAAAAAAATATATCAATTACTAAATATGTCTTTGGCGTAGAATACATCTATTTTGTTTTCTTGATTGTCGCCTAGGGCATATAAAGAATCACCTATCGATTTTAACGCAAAGCATTTCACATTTTCCTTTTCTAACTTAGCATTGTAGCCTTCCGCCGGTTTGCTTTGTTTAAAGTTTGTACAGTAAGTTATTTATCCTATTTGGAACCGCACCTGTCTACTTTGGCGATTTTAAGGTTTTTGAGATCTCTTGTGTTAGATAGATCACTTCATTAAGAAACGAAATCAAGACAATTAAAAATAACCTCAGATCAGCACTTATAAAAGAGAATATAGACCATCAGCTTTTATTAGAAGTTTGTCGCCACACAAAGCATAAAAATCTATCGTATAAAAAGCTTGCTTAACTCTAAAATATAGCGGTTTTCTATTGAGTGTAGTTACTGATCTATAAAACATACTAGCAGCAATTCGACGCTAAGCCATGAAGACATAGTGCAACACCTAAGTTTAGTATTTATTAAACAAATATTGCAATTACTGGTCATGAACATATCCAACATTTTATTTTTACTCAAATATTGAGACTCACATTGCAATCAAGGCGCTTCCTACTACAATTCAAGAGAAAGTTTCCAGTTAAAGGGCACCAAGGAATGTTAAGATCACAACAAAACGACATAGTACGTACCATTTATAGCAATAATCTATCTCAATGTTATCATTTGTTTCAGTTTTTAACCATTCGAATGGAATTTTTGATCATAAGGTACCATAAAGCTGGCAATGCGGTTACATGAACTTATTCCAACAGACTCATTAGCCTTCCTCTTTGTCTAAAAAAATTATTAGTCTTCTTTTTTATCTCTGACAATTATTTACAATTGGGTTGCCTCTGTACCTTGTTGTGCTTTTGATAACATTTATTTTGTTAAGTGATTGTAGGTCCCATAAATTTAGTGACTATTTTTCTTAATAGAAACTTTTGTATGTAGTAGAAATGTTTCAAAAAGTAGTAAACTACAACAACAAAAATTGTTTTTATATTATTTTTAATTAATTGAATTCTTTATAAAATTCATCTATATGTCAGTGGGTAGGAATTAAGCAGATCGGCAAATGCCTTTTTATTTCAGACAATACAAATTGTAACTTACTATATTTCATTTAAAATTAAAGTTAATTTTAATAATCTAACAATTAGTCCCTAATCTATCAATTAATTGAAAGAAATATATTGCTGTTGTTAATCGTTAATTAGGCGTAAATCTGATTTTAAGGTTTCTTTTGTGAAGGGTGAAAGAACTTGGGAGTCTGCATCAAGCATTTCCCTGAAGATTATTTAGAACTGCATTCTCTTAAAACAAATGCAATATTTAATCCATTAGGAAGATATGCTGGGCTTTAAACAATACTTTTGTAAAATCCTCTGAGTAAATCATTAACATAATTCAACAAATTTCTGAGTACAGTGAATCATCCAAGTGGGCACAGATACTATTTCGAAAAAGTATACATACGTTAAGCACTAACTTACTTTTCATCACACAAAGAGGAAGAATACTTAATGTTATTATTAAGATTAATGATTCAATTTCAAAAGCGTACAACATTTACAATTTTATTTATTTTATTTTATTTAATTTTTAATACAATTTTTAAAGATTATGACATTAGCACTAAATAATAAACAGTTAAATTTTATTTCTATATTATATAAATTATATAATTTATATAAGCAATAACAACGTATGTAAAAATTTGTGAAAGATTGAAATACATAGACAAATATTTTGTTTATTTAGTTAACATCTTTTTCTTTCTTTTTAATGTTAACGATTCATATTAAGTTTAAAATTTGCAATAAAGAGTTATAGGACAATGGTCACTACCAAGACATTGCTGCCTAATGCAATTGTCGACGATTTTTTGGATAATTCGTTCTGACACCAAAAAATAATCCAAACGCCAGCCTACATTTTTGGCACGGGCATTTCGCATATATGACCAGAAAGTAAACGCATCTTCCTTATCTGGATAAAAATGACGGAAAGTATCCACAAAACCAGAAGCGAGTAGTTCTGTCATTTTTTCACGCTCCTCTTTAGTAAAGCCAGCAGTTTTAGTATTCGTTTTTGGATTTTTCAAATCGATTGCATTATGTGCCACGTTCATGTCGCCACATATTATGACGGGCTTCAACTTGTCAAGTGATTGTATATACTCCTTAAACTTCTCTTCCCATATCATGCGTGTGTCTAAATTGACAAGTTTGCGACCTGAATTTGGAACGTATACATTAATCAAAAAGAACTTTTCGTATTCAGCTGTAATAGCCCTGCCGACGTCATCAAACTCAGGTTGCTTGATGCCAAACTCTACATTTATTGGCATTATTTTGGAGTATACTGCAACTCCAGCATAACCACCGGCCATACATAACCAATAAGGATGGTATCCTGGTATACGTTTTGCTTCCTCCGGCAACTGATCTATAGTGCATTTCGTTTCCTTCAAAAAAAAAAAGATAAACAAATAATAATAATCTAGAAGAAGGTCATTTCTACACGCTTAACCTACAATCTTCGATAATAATAATGCAAAAGTACAACACCAACTAAGTGTAATAATAATGAATAAAAATATTTACTAATATAGGTAGGTGGGTTATACCAGCGATCTCAAAGGAACCACTTAGGCCTATAGGCCCATGTGTTATCGTAACATACTCTTAAAAATTTAATGGTATAAGGAATTATTAATAAAAACATTAATCAAATGAATTCCTTTAATATATCTTGGACAAATGTATAACATAACATAAGTGTCGTATCATAGTAAAAGAAATCTTTTAATAAAAAAAATCTTTACTTTTACACATATGGCTCATATAGAGAAAGCTAGAAACAAGAAAACTTGATTATCCGAGAGGGGAAAATATTGCAACAAGGTTTATTTCCTAAAAAAAATAATGTTTCGGACTATCAGTCGAAAGTGGGCTTCAATGGCTAAATGGAAATCGATAGATAAGAAGAAACTCTAAGATCTGCACTCTCTGTAATTAAAATGAAGTAGAGGATCTGCAACATTTTATGGAAGGATGTGCAGTACTAAAAGAGTTTCGTTGCAGACCAAGCAATTGGTTTAAATAATGTAGAGTAGGAAAAGATATTTAATTAAAACAAAAAGAAACAATTATGTACAATAACTTTCTTATTGATTTAATTATACTTAACATGGAACAAACGGTTGTTATAACCATTACGTATTATATTATGAATGCAGAAATACAGTTATCGTTCACTTTTTTAATATCTTTAACTTTGAACTTGTAATATTGTACAATCATTGTACGAATTGTAAAAAAGTAAATAAAGAGGGTTTAATCTATCTATCTAACATCTAATACATATTTTTAAATATATATTTAAATATATATTACATATATTAATACAATATTTTAGAAGTCAATTAATTTGCTGTTGTATTAAACTAATAACTGGGCTATAACCTTTCATATCTCTGAAAACTTTTGGATTAAAATAAACATAGATGGTTGTAGGTATAGGTATGTTAATGTACTGTCGTTACTTTTGTAAAATCAGATTTAAAACCCCACCTTTGTTTAAATAGCCTACCAAATAAGAAAAATCTCATTCAACCCCATATTATGTTGTGCATTCATGTTTCTTGCGCTAGAGATCTCTTGGGTCATGTTATGCAGAGTATCTCGGGCACGGTATGAGTAAAATTATTGTTGTTTTCAATGAAAATTATAAATTTGAGAATGAGAAAAAATACAATATGGCCGTTCAAACTTCGGCATGAGAGCCGGCGTATTTGTGCCCCGGCACTAAGGCAAAACAGTGTTGTTTAGTAATAAAGTTAAAAATTTGCTCCTTTGAGAAGTAATTTACTACAATTCTTATACGTTTTGGAAAAAAAATGGCATTAAGCAATACAGCCTATTTTATAAACCGCTTATAATTTAATTATTACATTTTCCGATTTTAAGGAAAGGCATATAATATTCTAACTACTGTGAACAATTATTATAAGATAATATAGTAATAAACTAACATTATAACAGGCTCTAAATTTTTTCTTGCTGGTTATTTTTGGTGGCAAATTGAAAGTGAGCATATCTATATTGTCCAAAATATCAAAATATTGTAAAATCCACATAACATGCGATTTTACCGTGCCCGAGACGCTCTACATAACACGCCACTTACAAAAAGAATCAAGAATAGCAATACTAGTACCAGCAAACAGTACAATCAAATAGAAAAGCAAGGATTAAATACAACTAATTTAATGTACAATATTATAACATTATTATCTTAATTAAAAATACTAATATTTAATGTAATTAAAAGTATACGAAAAAAAAAAAATTAAATCGAGCCCAGTTTTCGATTTTTGAATAATTCGAATTATCTCCAATTCGATGATTTAAGTAGAACACTTCAAATACTCGTAAATGTTCGAACTAATGTACTTTACCTTTTATTTAATATAAATTATTATAATATATATTTAAATTTAATACCAACCTGTATACAAAATATATCTGGATTTTCATATTTTAAAAATGTCAATCCGTCTTTATTCAACCACGATCTTAAGCCTGCCACGTTCCAACTGGATATTTTAAGATTATATGGTAAAGTATCACCTTCGACTAAGGTTTTATTTGATAAACCGAAATCCTCTTCATTGTATATTGTAACAGTTGCGTTAGTTACACCAGTCTTTTTTACCTTAGCAACTATAAACGTTAATAACAGTAAAGAAAATTTGTTAAAAAATATGTATATATATTTAAAACTTCATTAAAGTTAATTAATTATTATAAATATAATATGTTAGGGTAATAAAAGGACACCACTGATATGTTGTTCCAATATTTTTAATAAAATATAAACTTTTCTTAAATATAAATAATAAATTACAGTGTTTTTATTTCTATTTAAATTGACCAATTAGCCCGTTAATAAATTATTATTTAATAATTCCTTTAAAACTAACTACACTACTCTATCATTCGGGAACCCAAATCGAATTCTAATAGTAAAACAATAGTATTATTAGTAAATTTGAAGTGCGGCAAGTTTTTGAACGATCTTACACACCGCTATTGAAAAAGAATTTACCGAAAGGTTTAAAAATTTCTGTGAAGAACCCTGTTATAATATTTCAAATGTTAACATTTTAGTTATTCTTAATAAAATGTCATTCGTAAAACATTGAAAACTTTTTTATAAGTAAATTGATTATACATACATACATCTATAATCATATCTTTAAGATACTAAATGATGTGGAAAAAGAATTGGCTCATAGAAAAAAATAAATTTATAGAATTGGCACTACCAACTATAACTCTATAAGTACACATATTTATACTAACCTTTAGAATCAACAAGTTGATCTTGATTTTCATCTTCAATTTTCCGTTTTCGAGGCCGTGACGGTCCAGCCGGTTCAACATCTTGAGCTATGCTCTCACTTTTTATTACATCCGAAACAGTTTTACTCTCTTTTTTTTGTTTGCGACTTTTAATGCCATTATCGGTATCAGCACCGGCAGTGGGTTTTCGAGACCGTGACGGTTCAGTTGCTTCAACGTCTTGAACTATGTTCTCACTTTTTATTACATCCGAAACAGTTTTACTCTCTTTTTTTTGTTTACGGCTTTTAATGCCATTAGTGGTATCAGCACCTGCTTTGGTTTTTCGCGACCGTGACGGTCCAACTGCTTCAACGTCTTCAACTATGGTCTCAGTTTTTATTACATCTGAAACAGTTTTACTATCCTTTTTTTGTTTGCGACTTTTAATACCATTACCGGTATCAGCACCGGCAGTGGGTTTTCGAGACCTTGACGGTCCAGCTGCTTCAACGTCTTGAACTATGTTCTCATTTTTTATTACATCCGAAACAGTTTTACTCTCTTTTTTTTGTTTGCGACTTTTAATACCATTACTGGTATCAGCACCTGCTGTGGTTTTTCGCGACCGTGACGGTCCAACTTCTTCAACGTCTTGAACTATACTCTCACTTTTTATTTCATCCGAAACAGTTTTACTCTCCTTTTTTTGTTTACGGCTTTTAATGCCATTACTGGTATCAGCACCTGCTGTGGTTTTTCGCGACCGTGACGGTTCGGCTGCTTCAATGTCTTGAACTATGTTCTCACTTTTTATTACATCCGAAACAGAATCATCGGTTTTTACTTTACGCTTTGCAGTTTTTCCATCTTCTTTCTTTTGTACTGTTTTACTTTTTTTTACCTCACTGGATTCTAAATTTTTGGGCTCACTAACTAAGCCATCGTCGGTCTTAATATTCTTTGCACGTCCTTTAAAAAATACAAATTTATATAAGTTATTTATCAAAGTTATTTCATCTGAATTATTTTAAGCAATATACAAACTAATTAATATTTATAATATAATAAAAGAAAAATCACACATGCATATTAAATACGATCTAAAGATAAAATACCAACCCTTCTCTTTTTTTGAATTTGATTTTGATTGAACCGGCATCCTTATTAAATTATTAAATCAAACAAAAAATCAAACAAATGTATAAAAGCGCGCAACTTCATAAACAAAATGCACAAAACTGAAGTGAAATGATTTTTTCGAAGCGAAACAAGATGAAACGAAAATTTTTTGCACTGAAAGACATTGCCATATTAGAAAATTATAAGCGAATTAACTTCTTGCCATAAATACATCGTTTTATTTATTTTTGGTTTAGAATATTTGGGCTGTGTGCGAGTTCGAGTAAATTGATAGTAAATTTAGGAAAAGAGTAAATTATGTCGGTATAGCAGCGAATATTGGTATTTACCAAAATTTTGAGTTTGGTAAATTAAATAAAAATTAGGTAAATTTGGTAGTACCATTGTGAAAATTTTATAAGATGTTTAATAAATAAATAAATAAATTTCAAAACTTTTAACCAAAAATATTTATTATGTACAATAAATAAATAAGCAAATATATACATAACTACAGTGCAAAAAATCCCTAGGAAATTTCAATTTACTTTACTTTATTTTTCGAACTCGCATACGGCCATAATATATTATACATACTATATGCAATTATTATATTAAATATTATTATGTAAATATATTAATACTAATATAAATGTTGACCATCTATAATCTATAACGTTTTTATTTATTTGTGAACATTTCAATATCAATATCATATTTGTAGTTACATTTTCTACAATACATAACAGTATATTTGTACAATTGTGTTTTCTAAATTAATAAAGCAATGTTGAGTAATTGTTAATAATGTACATAATAACTTAAATTAAATAATTAGTAATTATTTAATTTAAATAAATAAATTAAATGAAGCACAAACAACGTTTATACTATCTCAACGTATTTTTGCATTTAATTCGTGGACTGATTCGTATTACCCGACAGGCGCGTATGTCCGATATTTATGAATAAGAAAATTTACTTCACCTTAATTTGATTAATTTGATTTTGTTATGATATTAGCAACTTTGGTTAAATCGTTTATTTTATTTCTTCATTAGATATTTTCTCTTTGCCTTCTTATACTTCACAATTAGTTTTACGGTTTGAATTGTCGAGTGTCAAATTTATAATTATAAATTAATATTTAAATTTATAATTAGAAATTTGATTTTAATTGCCAATAAGAGTATTGAGATTCAAACAATTTAATTTTTTTCAAAAACTTCAGAATCCGAAAGCATAGAAATTCCTAATTTTTAATTGGATTTGTTTTCAAGTCATTCACTTCAGAAAATTGTCTGACCGAACTGACTGCTGGTATACTGTAAACATTTTTTTAATCAAAGATCCTTAACCCACTTTTATTCATATGAAAAGACTACCCGGGAATAATAGTTCTTTTTAAAGTACTGTCCATCCAAGAGCGGACATTCCATTCAACAGGAAATCAAATTCTTTAGTAATAATTAAAAATTATAGACAAATAATTTGTAGCGAAGCTTTCGTCGTTACTATCACTCAGTATGTACTGAACATTTAATTGATGGATTTTCCTATTTTTATAATTTTGTTACAACGATTTTAGACAGCGTCTTATATCGAACCTGAATCAAAAATTATATACTCTAAAACCTCCAATCGTTTTGACAATGTTTTCTAAAAAAAATCAAAAACTATTTTTAATAATTTTTTAATTATTACGAACTTAGGTGAATAGGCCATACCCTGCGTAAGCCTTATGACGATATCCCGCACGCAGCGCTAACGGAATCCCCAGAAAACTTGGCGAAGAACAATTAATACTGAAACTGGCAAAGCATTTAACGAACTTCGACACATTTCGCAAAATAGAGATAGTTGAAAATTATTTGTTGTATCCTTAAGCTCCTAATGGAGTATGGAATAAATAATACGGGCTTAGGTCATTTATTTAACACATAAAATTATTAAAATATTACACTTATTAATGTGTATTAAATAATTTAATTTTAATAAAAATAAATTATTGGTTTTACGAAGCACTGTCGAAAATTCTAAGTCCGAACTAAGCCCGGCAATAATAAAAAAACTTATTGTAGTTTGGTCGTGATAACAATTAATTATAAACTATTTTTACATAAATTTATATAAAAAATTTGTTGTTTTCATAATAAAAAGAATAAAATGATTTTAATCAAGTCAAAGAAACTGATTGTAATGCATAAACACATAAAAAATACATATGTTTGGATCTAATATGGCGTTTATACTGTTCGAAAATGGCTCATTTTGAATGGCACATTTTACATTCGTCGTATTTCATTCGTTCTCATTTCAAACAGCTGATTTTTCAACTTGCCTATTGATTTGATTTTTGGCCTCTGCCAAAAAAATGTTGCATGATGTTGTTAAATATACTTTCAAATCTTAAAATATATACTGAAAACATATTTTTAACTTCGTTAAATACTTTTTGGAAAGTAGAAGTTCTAATAAGATGCATCGTTTTCTAGAAAATGCAATCACCAAACATTTGTTTACCTTTTGTTGTAAATATGTCAAAAACAGCTTTCTCAAACTGTCAAAATGCCATGAAAAGCCTTTATTTAGGGTATGTTCAATGTATTCCTTTGCATTTGGAACAAATTTGGAACGCATTCAACCTTCGTCGGAATGCATTCATACAGAATGTGAATTAATGGATTTCATTCGCGTTTGAAATTCTGTATGCAAGAATGAGCCATTTGATTCTTATTTTCTATTTTGGACCAGAATGAGCCATTTAAGGCCAGTGTAAATGCCGTATAAGCCAGAAAAATATTTCCAGTCTGAAGCTCTGCTTTTAGACTTGATGATCTTATTTATTATGGTTTATAGTAGATCATACTAGTAGATGCAGTAATTAGTCACATTTCTTATATAATATTTATAAAACAACATACAAAAACCATGAATTTTTAATTGTTTTTAATTTGAAAATGCTAGTTCGAAATATGGCAAACAAATTTTTATAAAAACAACGAGTATATATATTTATTCAAATTAAATAGCAAATTTCAAATAAATATTGGGAAAGATCAAAAAATTTAATTGTATAAAATTATGTACTATATGTTAGTTCGTTTTTAATAGTTTTTATAACACATTCTATTTGTTATTACAATGCAAAAATATAAATAAAAATCCACTAACTTTTGACTGTATAATATTTCTGACTATATAAAATATTTTCTGATCATATGTTTTTTGTTTAAATTACAGTTTCGTGAAAAAGTGAACTTTTCAAAAACTCGTTAATATTTAAAAAAATCCTTGTTGTTTTTTTACGAAATGCAAACAAAAGTGTATGTCAATATAAGAAATAAAAAGACTTTCTTAGAATTTGTCACGTAAAGAAAAATAAAAAATTTTTTAATTATCTCGCTTTTGAGTATTTATAACTATTATTGGGATTGAGTGACTAGAGTTTAACTGTGATTCATTAATTAGATAATACAAACATATTATGCGCATCTACAATTTTCATTAAGCAAGCCCAATTCGTGTTAAATTACTAATTATGTACTTATGTTAAATATGTGCTAAATGATTTATGTGCAATATCAGTATTTAACGGTTTAGCAAATTAGCAGGTTTTACGAATTTTTAAATTCCAATTGTCAACTTATTTGCTATTAGTTTATTTACATATAATACCATATTTAAGGGTGATTTTTAAACTCTATCCGATCTCGGCTCTAATCATAATCATATAACACATTTACTATGTTTCAATTTTCAGATTTAACACTTAGCATTTGATCACAAGTTAGCATGATAAATAAAATTTGTGAAGAGATCTGAAGGATATAATCGATTTCTGTATGATTTTTTTTATATAAAGAAGGAATTAGTTTTTATATAATATGAAGTTAAGAGTTATTCGAAAAGAATATGCTTGGCCAATTAAAAAAATGAATATTATTCATTTATAATAGAGTGTGCAGACGTGATAACCAAGTTATCTATGGTTGTCCGATTAAAAAATTTCTATGAGTAAAGATTACATAAACATTTTAAATATTGAAAATGATTTATTGTAATTATTGTGGCCCCTTCTGATACCACTACATACCACGAGACTTTCATTGTTAGTTGATTGTGAAACAATTTCGAGGACTTAATAAAGCTCAGGGTATTTTTTAAAATAAGTGTTGGACACTTACCTGTGACTTTCATAAAGCTAAGGATATAATTGCCTAAAAATTGGCTTTGCTTCTTTTGCTAAAATTTGTTTCATGATATTTCAGAAGCAGTCAACGCGAGAGAATAGGGTAATCCATTTTTTCCAGCACTTAAAATGTTTCTTCATTTATTACTTTTGATATTTATATGTGTTTTATTGTTATTATTCATTTTCGTTTTATGAACATCTTCTCAATTTTTTATAATAATATTATAAATTATACTGAACATGGTTTTATGCCAGTAATTTTGATCATGATGTGCGAAAATGCACGAAAACCTGGATCTTGAAATCCAGACACGCTGAATGGCTTTCAAATAACTTCTCTTGCCAATGTGTAAGGGCTATTGACGTACTCTATATGGCTGAAATCAATATTTAAAAAATTGGTTATGCGTTGGCTTTCTACTAATTTACTGTTTGAACATAACATATAAATGTTGAACTACTTTCGGTTCATCAGTTTCTTTTATTTTCATTTTTAATTAGGACGACTATAAGAAATACTTTCTTAATACTCTAGAAAAATTAAACTATATCAGAACAGTTTTTTTAAATAGTTATCATCATTTCTGGCCCCTATGTTGTGGTTTGTCTATGGTAACAAATAATAATGAACACAAGCATGAGATCTGTTCCACGAGGTACTCGTAGTAACACTGTGTAAAATTTGCGTCTTTTAGGAGCAAATTCTAATACGTTTTAGAGAAAAAATGGCAGTAAGCAACACAGGCTTTTTTTTTTAAATCGCTAATAATATAATTATTACATTTTCCGATTTTAAGGAAAGGCATATAATATTCTAACATAAGTACTGTGAACAATTATTATAAGATAATATAGTAATAAATTAACATTATTACAGCCTCTATGAGTTTTCTCTTGCTGGTTATTTTTGGTGGCAAATTGAAAGTGAGCATATCTAAATTTCCTTTTAAATTTAGTCACAACCAAGAAGTACCACGAAGTAGTAAAAATACAAAATTGGCAATACTGTGACTGTTGTGACAGTCTACATAACATGCATTTTCGGCACTTTGTACAACACGGCTCTAAAATGGCCTTTATAAGTTTGCAAAATTCAAATTGATTTCTTGAATGTTTACTGCGTTATCACCACAGAGCAATTGAACGGCTGTCATAAATTCAGCTAATAAAAATACAACTTTTCTCAAATTTTTATGCTGGCAATGCCATGAACTGTCAAAAATATTATAAACAAACTTCTTTGGTACGTAAAGTTAATTGCAAATGATATGAAGTAGTTGAACTCGAAATGGAGATTTTATTGTCTGTTAATAATCTAAAATCTCTGTGCCGCATTTGCTGTGAGATAGGGAATTATGAAATAGGAAAACATGAAATTTCCATGCCAAACTTGGGTATACGAATAAGTGTTTCTGCAATGTTTGAAATATTTTGTGACTGGGCTGTGAGTATGAAAAACAATAAACATATCTTAATAAGCTTTAACTTTTTGTTCTTTATTTAAAATAGGTACTAAAAAGTGCAATCCAAGATTTAGGTGAAGATTACCATATGATATGCAGTGAATGCTTGAACAATCTAGTCTCCTGCTATATTTTTAATAAGAAGTTAAAAGATGGTTGGATGCGTAGTGAACAAATGCTTCGGGATGCAATTGATTTGGAAACGGTTGCATTAGATCTTGAGACACATGATGTTTTAGATAAAAAAGTGCATGATGTAGATGATATACAAGAAACTGATCAAGCACAAGAAGTAGTTGATGAACAATGTATGGAAGAATACAATGTTAAAGAACCTCCCATTTGTACAATGAAGAAGAAAAGATATTATCCAGTTAGAAGAAAAGTGAATAAAAAAAGAAATCAAAATATAGAAATTACAACCAAAAGAGTTTTGTATAATATGAGAAAAGAAAGCTCCTTACCATCAACTTCTAAACAAGCAAGAAGAGAACAAACACTTTTAAATAATATGGTTAATAAAAATAAATCTAGAGAATTGGAAATGGAAGATTTTGGTCCCAATAATCACTCAACTGCTGGTACTTATATGCCCAATTTGGATGATGCGGTTTTAATCGTTTCAAATTTTTTATCAGGCAATGATGATATGAATGATACAGTGCATAGAAGTAGCGATCCATCTATTCATAAAATATGTACTGTTGAATATGGAGCAGTCGAAATCAAATATAAAGACTTACATAATATGAATAACATCGATAGTGCCATCACATTGTCAACGACTAATCAAATTAATGGAGATACGGTTTACTCTTGTACGTTTTGTAATGTTATATTCTCTGTGCAGCAGTTGCTAAAAGCACATTTGCTTAAATATCACGTATGTCAATACTGCACAATATCATTTAAAAAACCCGAAGATCTATACCAACATGTACATACACATCATCAACAGCACCAGTGCGTCATTTGCAAAAAAAATTACACCACAAATACTAATTTAAAGGTACATATTCGAAAAATGCATGGAATTAAGATACCGGCACATGTATCCTTACTCGGTATTAAAGAAGGTTCATGTAAAGAAGAGATCTGCATGGATGAACTGACATATGAACAGCCTTCATATGAGGATGAAGTGCCAACGTCCAGTTCGAGTACACATTACAATAACACTACTGATGTATTCAATGAACTCGATCAATTTGCAGACCACGATGTGAATCACATAAAACACAATTATGATTGTATCGAATATATTGAGTATCCTGAACATGGTACAAACTAAAAATGTAATTGAATTGACATTTCTTGGTTTAAGGTTTTTGCTTTTAATAATAATAATAATAATAATAATAATAATAATTTTTTATAATAAATAATTTAATATAATAATTTATTAATTATAATAATAATGTAAACAGCTTACAATTAAGTTTTACATATAATGTATATAAATATATTAATATTATACATTAATTGTATAAGCCGACGTTTTTATTGTGTTATTTAGTGTGCAATATCAAACTTGACACTACTTTGGAATAAGATTAAAAAATAAAAATAAATTTACATGTAAATCATTAATATTTTATTATCTCGTACTAAATTACATTATATTATATTATAAAGTTATGTTGTAATTTAAACTACATTAGAAAGAAAATTTAAGGTAATAAGAAATGCTTTAATTAGATATATTGTTGTAACATGTGTCATGTTATTTTCTTTTTGGATCCCTGGTGGATGTAATGATCCGTAATTGGTCATCAGTATAAGCGAACTATTATAAGGACGCTCGATTCTACGTCCTAGGGCCACTCGCCGAGTTTGATGACCAAACGCTATTTAGCAGTTTCAAAAGAGACTACACAAGCAGAGATTCGTGTGCTACAATAACAACAACAATTCCAGAACGTAGAGGTGTCAAAGCTTAACTAACAAATGGTTTTAGGAATGATGAGGGAGGTTTACTTAAATGAACTTAATAATGACCATATACATAACATAAATTTGAAAAACCAAATGGTTGTACAACTAGTGGGGTTTGCATGAAGTAACTTATGATGGCCAAGAATCGCTCAACCCCACATTTTGGTGGATAATGTGGATGAAGTATTTACGCATTACAAAATACATATATGAATTCTTGCAGAATATAGTCATTTTCTAAAGCTGAAGTGAGATATATCCCGATCATTGCACAAATCGATGGTCATTAACTTTTTGTTAATGTGTATTGTTTTTTGCTTAAAAAAAATTATTTGTTATTCAATAATCAAAAAAAATCTTAGTATTTAATAATATTTATTTTTATTAAAAAACTTTATTATTATATGTTAAATGTAAACCAAGTGCTTTGACACTTCCATTATTTAATAGAGTGAAATTAATGAATTTGAACAGTTAACGGGTCATTTACGTTATAGCCATGAAAATGATTCCTTCCAGCTAGCTTTATGCTTCGAAAGACGTTAAAAGAATACATTTTCACTTCCTGCTTGATGTTATACAAATAATACTGTCGTTTATAAGAAAAACAATTAACTTTGTTAACATAAATTATAATTTTGTGGAACCTTTATAGATAAACTAACTTAAAACACACTGATTGTACATATACCAAAAATATAATTATTATAAATAATTCTTAAAACTAAAGCTGAACGACTGACTAAGTCTGTTCTGTAGATCAGTTCAATGCAGTTCAATGTTTTAATTTTTAGACTACGAGGTCTTAATTTTGAAATGTAATATAGTCGTTGGATGTTAGCTTTATAGAACATTCAACAAATTTTTGATGTGCATATATTTTCTTGACAAAGATATTACTAGTCACGAATGCTTTATTACATCACTTAAGCAGCTGAATGCACTCAAATTTAAACATTTGTTCACTCTGAAAAGTTTATTTGGTTAAATATGTTTGCGTTTCTTTATTAGCTAATAAGCTTTATTTAATTGTTTTATATTTTATACAAGTATGAACAATAGTAAAAGCGCGAACACCATATTTTGTTCTAAAATTTTTTTAGCAGATTGCTGTGCTCGACCCAAAATAAACCCTAACATAAAAATGCTCGAAGATTCGAAAAGCACGAATAATTTTTAAAATTCTAACTGCTACTGATATCAGTTTTTTTAGATCTAATAATAAAAAAGTATTATTATTTTTATTTAACTCTTTGACATCATTTTTCATACTCGTCTCTTTCCCGTTCTTCTATCTTGTGTGTTAGTCGTGTGTTAGATTGATGTTTTTTGCTCACATGACCCACCAAAATTTGTTAGGATCTTTTTGCTAACTATTTTAAGGCAATTCAACTGATATATAGTACCTTTGCGCCGTTTGAAATTTTCCTTCCAAGCGAAACACTAACATTTCTGGAACATGATCTTAATTATATGATTAATTTACCAAAGTTCAGGTTGTTAATTAAGCTGTTAGACTAAAAGTAACCCTCTCTCTATGTTGCCTATTAAAATTATAAATTAGTAATCAAAACACACTATTCATGAATAAATAATATTGTAATTATAAAAATTAAGGAGTTATATTTTGTAATTATATATAAATAGATTTTATATACATATAGCGGTGCAATGAAATTTCAGTTTTCTACATCAAAATTATTATTCCAAAATATTTTAGCGTTCGTTGTTATATCATTACCTTCTTCTTCTAATTCTCCGCCTTTCAAATACATAGGCGTAAATTCTCGATATGCTAAGCACACCCGTCGACCAGTAATATCTTCGCGTAGAACAGCGTGCTCAAATTGATACCTTGCAGCTCCATACAAAACGATGAGGGAGAGACTAGCAAAACGAAAAGTTTATTTGAAATCAATATAATTAAGAAAATAAACCTACTTTGGCATTGGTATACGTATAACACAATCTTTGTATTGCCCAAGTTCTGCTACATCCTCTAAAGGCGATATTAGTTTGTGTTTATATTCCTGTACTAAATCTAAATTGTATCTATTTGATATATCTCCTGTACTATCATACAATTTTAGCGTTAGCACAGCACTTCCTAAGCAATTAACAGTAACAACACGTTCACCCCAAATCCAGCAATCGTCAATATGCGGATCTATACAGGCGCCTTTGGCTTCTGTGTATTCCAAACTGCATTGCTCAATACTTTGGAAATCACGCAGTAATGGTATTTGCTTAAAACGTGTCTGTAAATATTCTGTTGTAGCTGGGAATCCAGAAAAATTGCCATTTCGTAATTTACGTTTTTTGAAATTTGTTTTTGGTCCATAGTTTTGTTTTCGTCGACCACTTTGCGATACCGTCCATGGCAATTTGTCCAGTTCTATCATCAAATCGTTACCTTCGGAAGGAGTTAAAAAATTTTCAAGCACCAAAATTCCAGAAAGCCTGATGCCCTCTTCGCCACGATGCTCGGGATGTTCGTTCCGTACATTTGCCGGTTGCCAGCCCGAATATAAGCATTTGCATTCTACACAATAGCTAAGTGCACGTAGTTTCAAGAATTCTTCTTGCAACGATATTTTCATAATCTTATAGTCGCTCTCGCATTGTAAACATGTACGAACACCTTTGCAGCCGCATGGTCGAATGGTATTCATCTCGACGCCAATTTATTAAGGCAAACACTTGGTAAATACATGCAGGCAAATATTAAAGTGAAGCTTATGTGGTGGTGGTATTTATTAATTTATTTATAACATTTATAATATACGCGTATGTTTTAAGTTAAACTTTCGATAGTGTTTTTTAAAAATATATGTGTATTTTATATATTAATTTAGTTTTGAACAGCTGATTTTATAGCATAATACCAGTATAGTATGGCTAAAAAATCACAAACTTAGGGATAGCATGACATAAAGTATAAAGAATAACCAAAAACACAGTTATTATCGATATTAATTAGTAATTATGGCAAATAAACAAATTACTTTAAGAATGGAAAGTGACTAATTTGTAAATTTTAAATTTAATTAAATTATGCCTAACTACCTTTCTAAACTCCTCTACCAAATATGCTAGTTTCTATTAAAATATAATAGTCACTTTCGTCATAACTGACGTTGAATACAACTTATATTAAATTTTGCTATATATTTTTTTCACACATTTTTCAAATTAGTTTTGAAAATTATATATATGAATATCTATAGACTATAGTCGAAATAGTCTATAGCGAATGTTGGTATTTACCAGAATTTCAAGTAGTGTAAATTTGATAAAAATTTGGAAAATTAGGTGTTACCATTGTGAAAATGTTATAAGATGTTTAATAAATAAATTTGAAAACTTTTAACCAAAAATAATAAATAAATAAATATTTACATAAGTGCAGTGCAAAAAATCTCTAGGATATTACTATACCTCCATTTAGTCAAACTCGCATACAGCCTAGTTTGACCAATTTGTTTCTTCAGTAATATATAAATAAAATTTGGTCAAAAATACAAAAACTAGTTTTATACAAGAAGGTGTCAGATCTAATCAGGTCATATGGGTGCTTATTCCTTGTATAATCAGGAACCCAAAATAAAATAAGAAGAAATAGATCTATAAAATAGTTTTAATAGCAACTTAATTATGAATGAAATATCATCATCGTCCTTGACGTGACAGTCTGTGTGGGATTTAGGCCTATTTTACAACAACCTACTATTTTTCTCCGTTTGTTCCTTTCTCTTTCCAGTTCCTTATATTTATCTGCTCTTGATCATGAATGAAATATAGATCTTGATATTATTAGGGTAAACATTCGCAAAAAGAAAGAAAGGCTATTGAGATTTTGTATATTCTCGCCTGAAATGTTGAGGTGAAGATACAAAGTTATATAAGGTCTACCGGATTGTTACACTGTGACCTCGATTATTTGGTACAAATCATCTCAAATAACAAACTCTTAAATGTTTGCCTGAAAGTTCGTATAGTTTCTATTGTATCTGCTATCCTTTTCAAATGAATTAAAAGGAAAAGTTCATACTTAGCTTAAGCTCCTAACTTATAAGAATGTTAAGGATCTATATACTTACTTTCCTAGTAAGTCTATTTGTGTTATGTCCAAGTAAGCACAATTTTCGTTCTTATGCTACTAGAAATTTCAGGATCTACAAATAGAAAAGTCGCTCCTCGTCTAACAAATTCGTCTAATTCAACCTAAAACAAAAAATTTCTTGTCGAAGGCGTTAAAAGGTTCTGGATCTACAAGCAATGAAGCCGTTCCTCTTCTAACAAATTCATCAGATATTTCGTATAATTTAATTTAAAGTCAAATTTTACTTTCCGAAGCCACGAAAGTAGATCCTGAATACAGATCTACTTTAGATCTGGAATTCTAAAAGAAATTAAAATTTTGTTTAGTACATTTTTATATAAACTACAACTTTGTTTTCTTTTATATATTTTTATTAGTGCAAATATATTATTTATTTTTATATGTTATATATATGTATATATTATATATATTTATATATTATTTATATATTATAATATTATATATATTATATTTATATATTTAATATTATTATTATAATTATACATTTTTATAAATTATATATTTTTTATATTATTTATTTTCTTAACATAATTTTTTTTTAAATTATACATTTTTTATAAGTTACATATTTTTATAAATTATGTATTTTTATACATATATCATTTACTTTTACATAATATATATATTTTTTTTGTTATGTATTTCTATATATTATTTATTTTGCATAATATATATTTTTATATATATGTTATATATTCCTATATATTATATATTTTTATGTATTATTTTTTTTATAAATCATACATTTCTATAAATGATATATTTTTATATTTTATATATTTTTATAAATTACATATTTTTATAAATTATTTATTTTTATATATTATTTATTTTTACATAAAATATTATTTTTATGTTATACATTTCTATATATTATATATTTTTATATATTATTTATTTTAATAAATTACATATTTTTATAAAATATATATTCTTATATATCATTTATTTGTAGATAATATATATTTTATATGGTATATATTTGTATATATTATATATTTTTATAAATTACATATTTTTATATATTATTTATTTTTACATAAAATATTATTTTTATGTTATATATTTCTATATATTATATATTTTTATATACTACATATTTTTATAAATTACATATTTTCATAAATTACATATTTTTATAAATTATATATTACATATTTTTATATATATTGTATATATGCATATTAAGGAAAGTTGTATTACAGATTAATTAATGCGTTATATTTAATATATTCACATAAGATTAAATTATTTGTCTAATAATATCATATTTATATATATATATATAAGTCTGAGATATATTTTAAATTTAATATTAGATTCTAAACAGACTGTTAATTGCTGTAATCACAAAAGAGTTAACTAGCATTCTACATTAATACTATGTATGTACGTATATATATATGTATGTGTTATATACATACAACTAATATATTTATATTATGTATGATAATGGCAGTTGATGTATTACTATTAGGTTTTAAGGCTATAAAAACCCGTAATGGATATACTATAGTAAAGATATTTTCGCTTTACCCGTAAATGAGATTTTTTGAGTTAATGGTTAAGTAAATAGAATATAATCAGTGCCTTCAGTTAAGTTCAAGCTTCTTAAGTTTGCTTCAAAAGCACCGTTGGTCATGTCCAATTTCATGCATATCACTAAAGGCGGTTTGGCCTGCGTGAAATGGAGTACCGGTATGGTATGCGTTATTTTACGTGTTACTTGATCGAAGTATTTATACATGTTTTGTATCTTTTCTAGAGAATAAAAATGTTTTAATTTTATTTCAAATAAATATTCACACTTTGAACAATTAACTAAACTTACTCTTATCAACGTCACAAAATGAGATCACTTTGTGTTTTTCCACAGCAGGCAAATCACGGAAAAATGTTTTACCCTGTTTACCGGCATTCCATATAGTAAAACCATTGCTCCATGGTTCTTTTTGTAGTATATTTTCGATAAGATGTCGTAGACGTATACGCAAGATAGTCTTGGCGGCAATGGAAAATGTTGTTGCCTCGGGATGATATCTATATTTTAGTAGACACTGATCAACACGTAATACTGAGCCTCCACGATCTAAATGCTTATAAAAAAAAATGAGATCTTCTGGTATACCATGTCCATCGTCACAAAACCCATTCGATATATTATTATAAACGCTACGATGACAAAACCAAGTAGGCATTATAACTGTTGGACCATTGGAAGTGTATATTTGTAGCGTTAGTTTTTGTGGATCCAAATCATTGGCCCATTTCGAAAAGCGACATGTTGAATTTGTAGGTATGCGCATAAATTTTGAACCAATAATCTATAAGAGAAAAATCACTTCCATATTATATATATTACTTAAATAACTAAATGTGACAACTCACTGCATCCTGGTGTCTTTTAGCAAGCGCATACTGCTTCAGAATTCTATTAGGTAGCATAATCTATATAAACAGAAAGGAAATTATAATTATTATTACAACCACAGTTTGAAGTAATAAAATATATTTAATATAAATCATATAATATAAATATAATATTAAAATATACTTAAAAATTAGAAAGATTTTACTGGTGCCGTTTAACCATCAATTTGAACGAAGACACTATAATAGTAGTGGTGAGGTACATTTCAATTGATCGACGGAGCTGAACCGTCTCATTAAGGCTCCTCTGCCTTAACCTAGGTTGAATTCAATTAAAATCCCATCTATACCCAATCCCTTCCTATTTTCACACTTTCTTTACCTAACCATATTCTAACCCATGTATACGTATTTGTAATTCTTTAGTTGTTGTTGCAGCTTGCGGGAAGTCCCTTTGGAGGTGGTGAACGACACTTAGTCGTTGAATTTGACGAGTGGGTCCGGGACATAAACTCAAGCGTTCTTGGAGCCTTGTAGTTATTTTCATTGTATTTGCTTTATAGAACAACTACAACAACAACAAGTTCACTTAGTACTCGTAATAGTTGTTATTGTAACTCGTGTTAGGACAGGTGAAGATACTCTTCCAAACAGAAAGAGTACCAACTGTTCCTTGGTGGTCCCAACAACAGCAACAATAATGGTTTATATAATTCTTTTTCAACACTGGAAAAATTGCGAGTTTACTTAAGCTCAAATGATAGTCTGTTGTGATACTACCGATAAGCGTTTATACGCAGACCAGAAGGATTGTTAAAAGGACCGCAGTGGTCAGTAACGCAGCCAGGCTCGACTTCCCTATTCATTAGATCAAGTATCTAATTTTGCAAGATGATAACTCAGATAAGATGATAACTTTACAAGATGATGGACACTGGTACACGAGGCGGAGTATAGTTGTCTCCTCATCCGCAAACCGATAACCTCGATAACATATTTTAAGCAATTTTTTTTCATTAAAAAAAAATAATTTACAACTTAAAATGCTGTTGTCTTAAGAGTTGAGATAATTTGATATATAATGTGTCGATCGTTCGATGCGATTCTTCACGATTATATATATCGCGAATATATTTGCTTCGTATTTAATATATTAGAAAAATACATTTACTCCGCTGCATTAAAAAATAAATATATTTTTTGTATATATATATATATATATATATATATATAATATATAATTATATACATATATACCACACAAAATAATTTATTATATATATATATATATGTATATATTGTTATATTAACTGCGAAGTTTCTTCATAACCCCTCTCTACGCCTTGGCTGGATTATTGTTTATCATATATATATATTTTATATATATATACACATATATTTCATATATATATATATTTGACTGAAATCGAACCAAATTTTTCTTATGCGTTTCTTTTAAAAAAAAAATTATCCGGCAAATATCTCAAGAAAAAAAATTTAAATTAAATTATATTTATTTTAAATTTTTTTTCCTAGCAGTTACGGACCCACGAAGTTTTGAAGATTTGTGTTTTAGACTATATTTTATTTGGTCATATTTCAGGTTCTGTACAATAGAGATATAACATTTGCTTTATAAATAATACATTAAAGTATTTGCAAATAATATACTTAATTAAAATTGTTTATATTTAGTTACTGATATTATTTAAAAAAACCTTTTTAATTTTTATGTGTTAAATTAACGATCTAAGCCCAGTAATTATAAAAACAAAAAACTTATTTTTAAATAATAATAATCATTAAGTTCTAGCCAAAAAATACTTTTTTAGGGTACTTTTTTTAGAGGTATTTTTCAAAAAATATTTAAAATGCACATTACACGCTATGTGTAAGAACTTAAATTCATTAAATTAAATTTTCAAATATATACTAATAAAATTAATTATTTTTAATATTTAATTCAGATTTAGCATTAAGTTTTACTAATGAATTCAAAATTTTCTAAATAGTGTTATTATTAGAAGTATTTCTAATAAATAAATTAATTTTAAATATAATTAATTATATGTATATGTATATATAACTTACATCGTCCACATCTTGGAAGCACAAGTATGTGCCAGTAGAATTTGCTATAGCCGCATTGCGTCCATAACCCACTGTAAAGATGTTGAAAACAGTTTAGGAATTTTTCTTAATTATAAATAATTTAATTTATTTTAAATTTTTTTTTTTCTCACCTCCTTTTGATTTCTCACTTTCATTTCTAATTATTACCAAAGGCACATTTACATTTTTAAATCTTTGCCGCCACAATTTCAAAATTTCCACTGTATTATCTGTGCTACAATCATCGAAGGCACAAACCTCAAGTTGTACGTTTTCACACTGATTGTTGTGTGACGTCACATGCGCTGTTCTTATTGAATACTGCGTCTGGAGCTGTTGTTGTTGTTGCTGCTGCTTTTGGACAGCTGTTTGTTTAAGTATCGATTCAAAGCAATTGTCAATCCATTTTGCACCATTTAATATTGTTATAATAATACTCTTTATGTAAAATAATTGTTGAAATAATTAAATTTTATATTAAAAAATTATAATTGACGAACTTTACTTGGACTTACAATTATATCTTCTGGCATCTAAACTATCCTAAAGCACTGCAAAAAAAGAACGTCAACAAAAACAAACAGCCACCGGTATTATACTGCTAGCAACAACAAATGCACGGAGCAGATTTTATACTGATTTTTCACTTGACAGACGTCGCTGTCAAGTTTTTTATCTCGAATGTCATTAAGAAATGAATAGTAATCTATGCTTTTTAACTGATATATTGATTATTTTATCTAATGCAGTAGCTAACAAATTATATACAAAAAATTTCTATTAATTATTAAATTTCGTACGTTTGTATTTGCGCGAAATCAAATACATACAAAATGCTTACTGCACTCACACACACGACCGCACTCATCTCGTATATACTTGCGCTAGTGAGATAATAAAGCAGCCCATACACGTGTTAGATAAAATGTTAAGCAAATCTTTTTTGGTGCAATCAACAGAGGAATTTTTCATATATTTTTACTTCAACATTATTTTCAAAAATATGCTCAACAATTAAATAGTGGCAAAATAAAAATTACATGTGAATATATTTATTGGAAAAAAAATGTCAAATAACTAGTAAAATAAAGTAAGTTGCTAAAAATTAAGTAAATTACCCTTGTTACCATTGTGAAAATTTTATAAGATGTTTAATAAGTAAATAAATAAATTTGAAAACTTTTAACCAAAAATAATAAATAAATACAATAAATAAATAAATAAATATTTACATAAGCGCAGTGCAAAAAATCCCTAGCAAATTTCAATTTACTTTGCTTCAATTTACTCAAACTCGCACACGGCCTTAATATATTCACCAAACAAAATATTCGATACAAAAAATCATCACGATTTTAATAATAAGTTTTTGTAATATTAGCCGTAATAATATCTTTCAGAGTAGCAAAAAAAAAAATACTCGCAACCTACGAAAGAAAACATGCAACAACAATGCTCTTAAGATCTTCAGAGTTAGGTTTTACTAGCAAAAATTTTTACATTTTAAATTAAATGTTTACTGGAAATATGTTGCAAAATTCCAAGCATCATAAAATCATAAAATCATATGAGCAGAAATAACAACATTTTGCAATATATCAAAATAATAAGATAAAAACTAATTTCTATATAGATTAGATCAACACAAAAGTAGCTATCGGAATTAACAATTGTCCAAGAATTCTATTGGTGTTACAATTTTCTATATATTATATATACAGTCAAACTTCCATAACTCGAACTTCTATAATTCGAATTTTCTACAGCTTTACACTGCTTTAAATAAGCTAGATTTGGCTAATTTTCTACATGGAACGAATAGGATGACATTGATGTCAAAGTTAAGTAAATAAAATAACTTCCAATGCTACAAATGCTCTTAACTTAAGCTTTACTACAGATGACGATATTATTAAATATTATTGTGCTCTAAATTAGTGAATCCGATTCACTAAATCGGATTCACAGAAAGTGATGATGAAGATTTGGTGGATGAAATTGTTCGACAGCCTTCCAAGAATGAAGTAGAAGACTCATTCAAAATTCTGAATTTTAATTTGCAAACGAATGTTACTACAATTAATGATCACTATAAGGCTTTGAATAAGGCTTTGAGTTTTGGGAACAACAACAGTTTCGAATTTGTTTTGTTAAATTCTGGCAACTATGGCACTTCTTATGATCAGAAATGACTATAATGAATATTTTATAAATAAATAGTAGAACATTTTTATTTTATTTATTTATTTTATTATTTAAATATGTATATAATTTATTATTTTCTTACATACAATAAAACAAAGTAAAATATCTTTTTTATTAATTGGAATTATTAATGTTTTAACTAAAATTTGAGTTAAAAGAAGCATAATTGAAAAAGTTTATTTTAAATTATTCTAGGAATCCCATTCATTCTAGAATTTTTTTCCTTTCGTTATCTATTGTTTTAAATAACAATAGTTAACGCTTTAATTTGGGGAAAAAAACACTTGCGGATAAAATAATTAAATAAAAACTTAAATATATTACACTTATAATAATACTTTTATTATAATAATAATATTAATAATAAAATAAAATATTAAATAAAAATTTAGTTATATTAAATTTATTATAATAATTTTATTAAAATATTTTCGAAAAACGAATCAACCCTTGTGAATAAAAAAAATAAATAAACATTAGAAAATATTAAATTTATTAAAATAATTTTATTAAAATATATTCAAAAGTCTGATCATTTTCAGTTACTTTCATATTAAATTAAACTATTTTTAAAACTTTTTCAACTTGTCTCCCAAACAATTTGCTTGGGAAAGAATTTGTGCAAAATTGGGGGAAAAAAACTCTCATTTCCAAGCGGTTCAGAATAGCAAACTTCGGAAAAGGGAACAAACTCCCATTCCCATGCGATTCAGAAAAGGCCTGTATACGTATCTTTTAACTACGTAGAAATTTTTTTATTTTGTGTGAATGTAAATTTATATTGCAGACAATTCATATGTAAGTGATATATTTATATCATACTGACTTCATATTAGGTTCATGGATTAATCTAACTTCATCTTACACTAAATACAACAGTTTATATTAAAATTAGTACACGTATAAATTATGGTCACTTAAGAGTTGGTTGTTTACTTATGTGTATATGAAAGTGAACTAAATGAGAATTATGAATGAAAAAAACAAAAACAAAAATATTTAATTCGAATGTTCCTTTTATTTGATTTAATTTATAAGTTTATTTTGAATATGGGTCACTCTTTAACAAATTGAATTCATCTCCTCTGATTTCCTAAAAGTTCAATCAATTATTTTGAAATAATGTGTTTACAATGCTAATTGTCAAAATCCCATGGGTCCATATATCCAAGGAAAAAAATTTCAATTTCAATTTCAAAATTTTTTACAGAGATACGGGTCTTCTTATTTTATATAAGCCGTTTATAAAAAAAATGTCAGCCAAATCAGAGGAGATGAATTCAATTTGTTAAAGAATGACCCATATTCAAAATAAACTTATGAATTAAATCAAATAAAAGGAACATGCGAATTAAATATTTTTGTTTTTGTTTTTTTCATTCATAATTCTCATTTAGTTCATTTTCATATACACATAAGTAAACAACCAACTCTTAAGTGACCATAATTTATACGTGTACTAATTTTAATATAAACTGTTGTATTTAGTGTAAGATGAAGTTAGATTAATCCATGAACCTAATATGAAGTCAGTATGATATAAATATATCACTTACATATGAATTGTCTGCAATATAAATTTACATTCACACAAAATAAAAAAATTTCTACGTAGTTAAAAGATACGTATACAGGCCTTTTCTGAATCGCATGGGAATGGGAGTTTGTTCCCTTTTCCGAAGTTTGCTATTCTGAACCGCTTGGAAATGAGAGTTTTTTTTCCCCAATTTTGCACAAATTCTTTCGCAAGCAAATTGTTTGGGAGACAAGTTAAAAAAGTATTAAAAATAGTTTAATTTAATATGAAAGTAACTGAAAATGATCAGATTTTTGAATATATTTTAATAAAACTATTATTATAATAAAATTATTATAATAAATTTAATATTTTCTAATATTTATTTATTTTTTTTATTCACAAGGGTTGATTAGTTTTTCGAATATATTTTAATAAAATTATTATAATAAATTTAATATGACTAAATTTTTATTTAATATTTTATTTTATTATTAATATTATTATTATAATAAAAGTATTATTATAAGTGTAATATATTTAAGTTTTTATTTAATTATTTTATCCGCAAGTGTTTTTTTCCCCAAATTAAAGCGTTAACTATTGTTATTTAAAACAATAGATAATGAAAGGAGAAAAATTCTAGGATGAATGGGATTCCTAGAATAATTTAAAATAAAGTTTTGCAATTATGCTTCTTTTAACTCAAATTTTAGTTAAAACATTAATAATTCCAATTAATAAAAAAGATATTTTACTTTGTTTTATTGTATGTAAGAAAATAATAAATTATATATATATTTAAATAATAAAATAAATAAATAAAATAAAAATGTTCTACTATTTATTTATAAAATATTCATTATAGTCATTTCTGATCATAAGAAGTGCCATAGTTGCCAGAATTTAACAAAACAAATTCGAAACTGTTGTTGTTCCCAAAACTACTGTCTCCCAAGCAATTCAGAATAAGGAAGTTGTGTTTTTGGGAACAGCGTAGGAATAGGGAGTTTTGTTCTTTGGGAGTATTCGGAATTGCTATGATAATGTTGTTTTTATTGCAATATCGAATTAAATATCGATTTAATTCCGAAAAATTCAGCTCACTATTTTTACTAGATACCTAATTTATCTAGCTAAGATATGATGTCATTTTAATAGACTGTGTACATCAACAGTTAGAATGAATGCAGTGTAGAGAAAAAGCGGTTTAAAAAACAATTCGAAACCTTCATGTGGCTATATAAAGTGGAGCTACACTCATAATGTATATTCAAAGAATGATATACATATTTTAGAAGACAGTATTACAAATTGAACATAGAATGTAAGCAAACGGAAAATCATAATAATTGCCAGATTCTCTACAAAACCGTTTGTAGAATACAAACGTCTTTCATTGATGACTATATAATGATTCAGCAGAACTCTCTTAAGCGGACATGTGGTCTTCTTGAAAATATTCTATATTCGCATCGTACTGGTACCGGTAAGAAACAAGTGATAATTTATGAATCTGATCAATTTTCTCTAAATTCGTTCCAATATTTATTAATTTCCTTAATTGGAGTTATGAATAAAAATGCAAGTATTTTGTTTAAATTTTTCTACAACATTTATTTAAATTCTTTTTATTTTTGTTTTTTTTTTTGATAGACACTTATTTTTTTAAATTGAATATAAGCACATTTATTATTATGTATGCATACAATATAAGCACAAGTACAAACTTATATACTAATTTTATAATTTCTTAATATATAATTATATACACGTTAACATATCAAACTATTTAAATATATTTATATGTATATATACATGGTTTACATATTTAATTTATTGAAATTTTAATTAATTTTGTTTTAAAAAGAATATAAATTAAATAGATATATATTTTTAAAATCCTTCTACTTCAAAAGACTGTATTTAATTGTAAAATAATGCGAAAGTATTCCTTAAGTCAGATAGTGAGGCTATATTATATATATATAGCTCTTCTGTATAAATATACTTTTAAAATGGTTTTAGTACCATTTCTATATATTTCATATAAAATCCTTATTTCTTATATTCAAGTTATTGTTAACCTAATAATTTTTGGTTACACGTAAGACAGAGATAACTTAACCTATAGAGATGTCCAAAGAAAGCATTAAATTTTTACTGGCATAAATGAGCTTTCTCTCGCATACGTCTATTGGTGAGAATTTGTCGTTAGTGAGAATTTGATTGTAAATTTTTTATTTAATTTTTACAGTTAAAATCAAAACAAAGCTATACGTCTCTTTACATTAAAAAAATATTAATAGATTGTTTAAAGATTGCATAGATACGGTTACAAAGCGTTTCTTGCGGCCATCCTTATGATTTAGTTATCTCTGCTTCGGGTTTCTTTAAAATTCCATGATGTGAATAGTAATAAAAATGTAAGATTAAGTTATACAAAGCTAATGTTTAGTTAACAAGTTCAAATTGTTAAGTATTAAATAACTGGAATACAAAAAAAAGAATTACTACTAATAGTTACAGGAGTATTTGAGTCTACGTGCCGGAGCCACTCATTTATCTCGGCTCCTAACAGGAACTATACCAACTACTCGTAATGTAATTCAGTTCAATAAGGAATGGTAAATAATTGCAAGTGCTTTTAAATCAGTGTAATTTATAATAATTTAAAATATGAAAAAAATTTCAATAAAGTAAAATGTTTAAGTCTTTATAAATATCCTCTTGCCACATTTAAGTATTTATCTTTCATATTACAGTTCAATTACTGTTAATTTCCAATGTGGAAAATGATTCATACAAAAAAGGTTAATGAATCAAACATATATAACTAAGTATTAATTATTTAAACATAATACTATCAGCTATAAATGAGATACTCTTCGGGAGCATTCCGGTTACTCGCCTGCACAGACGATAAAGTGTCAATTGTTCCTGCCAACAGGTTCTATAGTATACCAGGCAGGTATGTATTTCTTTAACATTTGTCGTCCATATTCTTAAATACAAATATTTAGTGGTACCTTCTCAAAGCAATTAGTTATGAGTTAAAAAAATGTAGTGATAATGAAGTTTTTACTACAAAATTTATTATGAAGAATATCTACAAGTTTAACTGTGGATACTCTATGTGCTATAGTAGATGAAAGATAAATATATATATATAATGCCCATTCAATATATATAAAAAATTAAATACTATTAGCAAATAATATATTTTATACTAAAGTAACATATTTAATATTTAGTAATTTAGTAATTTAGTAATTTACAATTTAAATTTTTGTTATTGAATTAATCTGAACAAATTCAATTCAAAAAAGTAACAATTCATATCAGTCTTATTGGCAAATAATAATTCTCACTTGATGAAAGCGAAAGCCTGTACTATGATGATTTGATTACTATAACTATTTGTATTTTCATGTGTTCGCATGCAAAATGTAAGAGAAATGTTCGGTGGTTTAAGCCTAAAACAGAACGCACTTTCACACTCGCTTTCTCTACGTCTTTCTCTCTCTCTCTCCCCCTCCCTCCCTTTTCTTTTCTATGCATTCACATTATTATAAAATCTAAAATCTAATATGCTTAATATATAAGATCTATACATTTTTTATCCCTCTAATAATACAAATTCGATTAATATAGTTAAGTTTTGTTTTTAAATTTGCAGGCATTTCCGTATGCTATTGCTTGTATAAACGGCTTCGAAGGCATTTATAAGTTCATCCATTCCTTTGAGCAAACCTTCCTCCCGATTACCAGGCTGCCATTCAGCGCGATGTGTAACATGAATATCAACTGGCAGTTGTCTGGATTTCGCAAAATCAATTAACCAAACGCCGACTTTTTCATCGTCATACACAATAAAAATGCTGGACCCAACAATTTCGTGCCGTTGAAAGAACTGTGATTTCTCTATAACGTTACGTATATATTTTAAACGTTTTATAAGTTCTTTATGGACACTACGCTTAGCATTTAGAAATTCTTCAATAGTTTGTTCGATCTGCTCATCGGTGCAGACAGTTTTTAAGTCTTTGACAGGTGAACGTCCTCGTAACCGTATCGCTTCTATTCGAAAACCCTTTGTTTGTGATGATGATTTTGATTCACGGAATGTCATATAACGTAATTTTGTAATAGCTTGCGCTTCTCGTTCCTCCGCTGTTGGTGCATATGGATCTACTGCAATCATTTTTTGATATAGATCCGGTCTTATGGTTTTGTTTGTTACTTCGCTTTCAAGAAATGTGCGGCAACCCATTTTTATGTCCATAACACAGGGATCCTTAAAACCACTGAGTAGGTCTTGAAGTTCGATAAAGTGTTCACCATTCATTTGTAAGGTACCATAGAATTGTGGTATGATTTTGGCGGTTTGTGTTTCTTGGCAAAGTAAATTGTAGGCTTCCACTTCACTATCCGCTAAGCTGGTAACACGCTTACGAACGATACCAGTGGTGGTGGGTACGATGCTGAAAAGAAAGATAAAAGATAAAAATTAGTTACAGATTGGAATATTGCCACTAAAGAGTAGTTCTTAAGTTTAAATAATAACGGTGAGTATAGGGAGAGTACTTATATAAAGAAATGAAAATGATAACAAAATATTTTATTAGATTGAGAACAAGAAATTGTTTCTTCCTGAAAGTTCATGGTAATCTATAATATTTTCGTAAAAAAAAAAAAAACAAGTCGCAATGGGTTGCCAATTTTCTGGTGTCGTTTTTTAAACTTGAAAAGGTAGCAAATATTTCGATATAACTGTTATTTATAGAACGATTAATACTAAGGGCTGGTTTCACAGTTGTATTAAAAAATGCCAAAGTTTTTAATTTTACTGACTTAATTGTTACTTAAGCCAGTTTTTAGACTTAAGTTAGGACTGTGAAATCGACACTAGGTGTTATAAAAAAATTATTTTATTTACCTTTCTGGGTGACCCGATAACTGCATCCAGCCCTGTGGTTTAGTAAAGGTATCACTTATATTTTTACTTTGATTTTGTTCAAGGAGAGCAGGTGTAGCGGGCGCACTTAATTCCAGAGCATTCTAAAATACAAAAAAAAAATGTGTTATTAGCAAAGTTATATTTTTATATATATATGTATATAATCTAATGTATTAATTCACTACTATAAATAACAACAAACTTATATTATTAATTTAATGTACTAGTGTTAATTTGATTGAGTAATTTTTATAATCCTATTGAGTAGTAAATAACGTTAACAATACATATTGTGACTTATGATTAAATGAGATTAGTGGACGTTAGCACCTGGTAAGATACATTGGAGAATCTGTCTGGAAAGGTACATTACTATTACCCCTTTTTGTTTTAATTAACACCGAACAGATATCAACAAATTATCCCTTTGTCATTTAGATTCTTTCAAGCTGAATAGTTTTGATGAGTTTTGATAACTTTAATGTACTTGGTGTTTACTTAAAACCTTTTATCTTAAAAGATAAAATTTATGTGTCCATACCACATATGTGATGGGTAAGAAAAGCTATGAAATTCTAAAATTGCATCAAAGAAATTGAAAGAATAGATTTACATGTTGGTATAGTCAATGGGTAAAAGTGTTTAAATGATTTTCGTGAGGAACCTATTGGTAATTATATGCTTGGTTAAGACAGATCCTTCCTTGATATCGGGATGAAGTAATACGTTAACTGAGCTTATATTCATTAAAATGACATGAAGTTTTGACGATATGTCATTGAGAATTTATTAGCATGTAATTACCAATAAATGGACTTTACTATAAACATTTTTATATTGTACATACATCTATCTATTTTTAAAAAGTCATTTTTATGTTGGATTCCATTATATTAATTGACAAAATTTATAACAAAATGTACAACATATTGAAATACACTACAACTTTTTTCAAAACAATAGTATATATTGTAAAGATGCATACATATTTCATATGTATATATATATATATATATATATATATATATTATAGTACTTGTTAAAATCAGTTCATTTCATTTTTAAAATAGAAGAAGCTATTATTCAATGCTAATTAAGTACATTTGCACTTCGATGAGACTATTTCATTCGGAAAGATAATTTCTGAACTACGTAAAAGTATATGTCGAAATCGAGATGATAAGCAATGCACTGATAAATGAAATAGGCTTGACAAACTTATGTCTGATAATGTAATAAGACATTAACATTTCACGATTTATAGATTAATATTTCAAAATCTGAATCTAACAAATTAACAAATTGATAAGCCCTTTACATGTTAGAAGCGACTGTAAGGCGCCACTCAATAAATTGCAGTCAGAAGTAATAAGTATTTGGAAGAGAAAAGTAATATACGAAGATGTTACCAATAACGCAAGTCATATTTTTGTCAGTGTAAAAAATGAAAATATATATAAATTTAGAACATGTGATACACGAATATATAAACATAATTATTATATGTAGAATATAAATATATAAATGAATATATATATATATATGTATATATATTTAATTTATATATATTTGTATTCATATAATATTTTAATTGCTTTATATTATCTATAGTGTAATTAAAAATACAATATACCATATATATCATACAATATTAAACAATGTTTGAAAGCCCAGAAGCAAAAGAAGAAAACTAATAGCTTTTACAGAATACGAATACAAAAAATTAACATTGAAAAAAAAAATTAATACGCAATTGAATGTTTGTTTAACCTTTTAATATTATAATAAATTAATGAAATGTCTTATATTAATAAATTAATAAAATGTCTTATAATAAAAAATTACTGAAGCTAAACAAAATTTATGATCAAGAATGTGTGTCTTTACATCGTAGACCTATAAAATTGAAAATTAATCATAGAAAGTCTAATGCTATTAATTTTTTTCCCAAAAAATAGCAGACGAATGCTAGACTAAAGCACTAAAGTTTAATTGATTTACATGTGTGTATATAATTAGAGTGTAATGCTTTATTAAAGTGTTTTCATTTGATATATACCGAAACTAGAATATGACTGAATACGAACACAAATCCAAAAACGGTATTGGAATATTTATTGCTCAATATTTTATAATTTTCTTAATTTTTGTTACTTGTAATTAACCATTTGACATTCATATTTTTCTATTACATATTGTGAATTAAAGAAATAAATATTTAAAAAATAAAATTTAATATTATTTTGACACTGGTACGATTTCAATGTCTATTGTGACGACGAAATTTTACGAAATTTTTATATATTAGGTTTTAATGTTGTACTTCACCTTAGAGACCTATTTTAGGAAAACTTTACACGATAGGTGCACAATGTTAATTAGTTAATAAAATAAAGTTATAAGAAAAGAAAAAAAAAAACTTCAAAAATTAAGTTAACAAAAACATAGTTAAAAAAAAGAAGAGATATGAAAATGGTTTATTTTATAAAGTAACATAATCAATTCTGAATGAATATGCAGGTATAACTCTATAATATATTGAACGGACACTTTTCTTTGGTAAACAATTTAGCTGAGACCAAAAAACTTTTCTTATTATTATACGAAACAACTTAACCCAATGTTTCTTAATGTGAGCCCAAGTTTTGAATAAGCCAATAATATTTTATACATAGCCTTCGGTAAATTTTAGACAATAATGGATGCCATGTTGAAACAACGAGACATCCATTTTTATTATTGTTTAAGCAAGGAAAAAACCAATTGGTTTTTGTTAAACACTCAATTGAACTGTTAACCTTCTCCGAACGTTTTTTGTATATTTAATGTAGTGGGCTTAGTACTTTTTTTAAGGTCCTAAATGGGGGGTTATTACGAAAATGGTTGAGAAATATTCCTCTTGAGCGGAAAAAAAATTGGCTGATAATGCATGTTAGCCAACTATAGCTGTCACGGTATTAATTAAACAAATAATGTTTATTATTATTAAAGTCCAAAAGTTTGTAAAAAATCCAGACGTCTTCGCTATACTTTTTTTTAATGATAATACAAGTTTTTTTGTATAGGGTTTTTCTTAAATAGTATTTCAGTTAAGGCACCCTCCCTCCCTCATGAATAAAGAAATCACCTAGGAAGTTGATGGACTTTGATAGACAAGTAACAAACTGTATTCATATCAAAAACAATATATTAATTTATATATATTTATTATTGCAATTTTTTAAATAATTAGTGTATAAGTAAGGCACAAGATTATAAAAACAAAATTAGTTCAATAGCGTAAAATTGTTTTTTTTTTCGATTTTTTCGTTATTTCTAATAATTTTCTAATAATTACTTATTTATGACGAAATAAATTTTAAAATTGTTGTCATGTCTACCTAAACTGCGATTAGAAATTAGAGAATATTAAATTCAAGTAAAAGTAATTAAAAACTATGAATTGTCTAATAATAATGATTTCGCAAGTTTATAGATTAATGTTCGGTCTTTGATTTTAAAGTCAAATAATGTGAATTTTTAATAATACATAATACAATAATAATACAATACTTTATATTAAAGTAAAAACTACGTCACGTGTTTCGAAAATTAAACTTTATTCACTTTTTTTTTATTTGAATATACAACAATTAAGTTAATTGTTTAATATTTTATAAAGAAAATATTACAAAATTATTTATAATTATTGCCTATACAAATTACAAAATTATTATTGCAAAAGTTTGGCACTGTAAGGTCAGCAATACTTCAATGCAACAATAACAACAAAATAATATTTTGCACAATAAAATATTTCAATAAATTTATAAATATTGAGGCGTAAAATACATTACAAAAAAATATTGTAAATAGTGTAAATATTTAAATACAAATATTTACACTTCATTACATATTAATTAAGTATCATAGTATATAGTATATATCATATAATTTTATTTTCAGTTTTACGGTTATAATATTTTTTTCTTATTTACACATTTGTTTATTAAACTTATATATTATTATATCATTTTTATATCACATAAATCTATAATGGTTACAGGTTCCTCGGAGAGGTATGCAGATCTGAGGTAAATTATTGCTTAGTCTGATGAAGTGATAAACAATAATACAGTCAAGGCGTAGAGAGGGGTTATGAAGAAACCTCGCAGTTAATAGAGAGTAAAAGTGCTCAAGTGCACTGACTCAACTAGACTGAACATAATGATATAATATATATAGATTTTATTATATTTTTATTTATTTATAATTTTAATAATTTTTTTTATATATATTTTTTGTTTTAGTTAATAGCTAGGAAGGTTATAAGGATAATTTGTAGGTGTTATTTAAAGGTTCCTATATGGTCCCACTATAACACCATACAAAAATCCAAATGGTTTATTAACATCAGGAGTAATGCCTGATGTAGTTTTTAATAAAAGTTCGTATCTTTAGTTAAGATCTACTCGAAAGTAAGCTACTATGTTGGACATGTGCTGCGGATATCTACAAAGTATACCTGATACTTTCTTCACCTTTCTTTCACTGCAACGCCTATAAGTGTTAAAGGTAAAATTCAATCCCATAGATTCGTTTAATTTAGTAACTAATTATTTTAAAAGTTTTATTGTTTTATTTTTTTAATATTACCATTATTTGAGCTTAAATGGACAAGACCACCGTTTCAACCTACATTAATATCAAAACAAAAAAAAAAAACAAAAAGTAACTAAAGTATTGCATAATTAAATCAATTATGGACTTACAAGAAGAAAGTCCTGTACAAGAAGAAATTATACATGTACTAAGTGTAATACGTTATTTGTATCTATAAATAAATAGATTGCACTAACTAGCATTAAGTTACCAAGTTATACCATTATAGATATGGTCGATATAGTTGTAGCCCTACTGAGGGCTGTGTGGTACATTGCTAGTGAATTCGTAAGTTACGAAAGTAATCCTATTGGCTCATAAGAGTTTAAAAGTAGTGCTGGCCTCCTATTTGGTAACGTTCATTACATTGTGACGTTGGGTTATAACAATACTTTTTGAAACGCTTTCTTGACAATGTCGGATATGTATATAGGAAATATTCTAAATTTATAATCATATATAACTTTTGAAAAAGGCACTTTGTTATGCAAATATGTAATTATGTATGTAAATAAACCATACCGAAAATGAATAACGTAAAAGACAGACTTACAGAAGACTACAGAAGATTCTATCGAAGGGGTCATTTAAATCCATTCGTAAGCTATTAGTAAGATTAAAATTAATCATATCTTAAAGTTAAAAACAAGTACAATCCTAAGTCTAGAAACGAGTGATGTATATATACAAAGCACATTTCAAAGCAATTAGGCATTTGTAGTGAGGCCATCTGTCGGCACTTTCATGCAAGGATAAAGTGGATTCTACACTGATCGTCGATACATTCACACAAAGTGTATTTCAAAGCAAACACTGATTTGTAGTAAGGACACATATTAGCAATTTCATGCATCGGTCAGGTGCAAGTCAGGTACCGAAGTCTATACATTTAAGTAAACTAGTATATGGTACATACTGAAATAAGCAAAAAATAAATTGATTTATTGTTATTAGCTAATTTTTATGCACTTCACTTTCGCCTACAACTTGCTAATCTTATATAATATAATAAAAACTATATATATATTGCATTGTGTGTCTGTCCGTCCTATACGTATAATAAAATGTATCTCATCAGTGTACTTGTACCTTATAGAGTATATCTGAATTGGCAAATTATTTTGTATTGTTTACTCTTATTGTTTGTTATATATTCGTTCTCATGCGTCAGTGTTAAAAACAATAATTGTTTATGAAAATATTTATATCTTTATTTCGCATTGTATTATTATTTTGTTTATTTGCTCTGCATTTAAATGAGTTCACAGCAAAAATTGCATTTTAAATGTGTTTACTAGTTGAATATTGCTTTAAGTTTATGGAAAACTTTGCATTTCTTTCTAAAATTTAAAATTCAAATTTAAATATAAACAAATTTTAGTTTTTAAATAATATATTGAAATGAAATCATAGCGAACAAGTGAATTAAACATGTAAAGACCAATTTTTTAAAATATAATATTTTATAGTGTAAAGATCAGTAAAGACCAATTTTTTAAAATATAATATTTTATAGTGTGAATATATTTGTATTAATATACAGTCAAACTTCCATAACTCGAACTTTTATAACTTGAATTTTCTATAACTTGACCTTAATAGGAGTGCAATAGGATTTATAGAGCAGATTATAAACATTTATAAAATAATTCTTTAACTCAAAGTCTCCATAAGTCGAACCTTTTCTTTGCAAAATAGTACTTCGAGATATGGAAGAGTTTGAGTGGATTAATAAATTATATTTTACTTATGTTAGGTTAGATTTAAAGTTGAGTTTTTGGAAGACTTCCCAGAGATCGCTTATGCATCTATTGCGTTACGCTAAAGCTTTTGTTATATGTATAATAATATGTACATACATCTAATGATTTCATCTTTCTATTTGCAAAGAGATTTTGTGATACCCATTTATATCTGATGCAAGAGTTATATGTCTATACTTCCAACGATTTCATTTTTCTATTTACAAAGAGATTTTGTGATACCTATTTATATCTGATTCAAGAGTTATATGTCCATACTACTAACGATTTCATTTTTCTATTTACAAAGAGATTTTGTGATACCCATTTATGTCTGATTAAAGAGTAACTAATTTATTTTCTTTAAAAACTTTTTGAAGTTTTTGATATTAGTTTGTGACAATTATTTAGGAATATATTAATTTAAAAAAATAATTTAAAAATGATAAGCATTTATAAAAATAATTTTAAATACGCATAATTTCAAAGTTTAGTTTAGTTTTTTTATTTAACATTAACATTAATACACAATATATTGTTTCATATTAGTTTTTCTATTTTTATTTTTAACTATACATATTGTATAGCCATAATCAGAGAACTGAAAACAACAGTAAGAAGTATTCAGGTAGGTTATCACGTTGATAACTAGGACCTATTTATTTCTATTGATCTATTGTGTTAAGGTATAAAACTTAATAGTTTTAAAACATTTTAAAACCTTTAATAAAGTTCTAAGATATTCTAGATAATATATTGCGCATGTATTGAATACTATATATTATTACAATAACTTTATAATTTATAATTTATAAACAAAATGAATAAAAATTTATAATAATAACAAACACAAAAATTAATTTAATAAGTTGATAAAAATAAACTAAAATATTTTTTTTTTTATTTCAATTCATGTATTTAATTATAATCTGTTGTTATTTAAAAATTATGATGTTAACGTTTTATTAGTATAAATATAATTGCTTTTTAAAAATATTTTTTTATTTCATGGTACTATTGCACAATAAATTATATCACAATAAATTTTTAATATAAAAAAAATTGCATTAAAAAAAAATTGCATTAAATAAAAAAAAAAAATAATTAAATTTGCATTTAATACTTACAATTGCTAAAAATTTTAATAAAGACATTTGATTTGTTGGCAAAATATCACGATTTGTTAAGAAATCAGCAAGATTTTCACAATTTTCCAAATTGATTTTCTGAAAAAAAAAATAAAAAAATTATATATAACCATAAGTATATATATTGGCACAAAAGATCTTTTATCATTTTTCAAAAGAATAAAAATATACATTAAATATTTAAAATATATTTAAAAAGTATTGTGTATAAAAATATATAAAAAATTATATTTTAATAAATTATATTATTATTATAATATTATATTTTATATTTTTATTTTATTTTAATTATATGTATATATTTTAAAGTTAATCTTTTTATTTACATTGTCAAAAAAAAATGCTTTGAGATAAAAAATATATTAAGATGTAATTTGTACCAGATATATCTTATAAATTTGCTAAAAGTTAAAAGCTATCTTACAGATAGTCAGCAAGTGTTTGGAGATAACATAACCCAGTAGCAACTTTTAACATAAAAGTGTTAGAAATAATTTAAGAAAGATAATAATTGATGACCTAAAGATGTTTTGAATATATAAGATTTAGAGTAGTTAAAAGCTAAGTTATTACTTTCAATAAATCGAAACCGATTAGTGCATAATGAAAGGCAAGACAAGAGGCTAATATTCTAGACAGAACAGATTGTCGAGCAAAATATGCAGACATGGATGATGAATTAAAGTAATTAATTGAAATACTGCGTATATCTCTCACATATCTTCCCCAAGGAGAAAGTTATGTCCACCAAATACATAACTTCAACTGGTTCTTTGGAGCTCCCATGGGGCGTTCATCGGCGCAATATACTGATGCGTGTGTGAAGAACACTGTGATGTTAAGTCTACATGGCAGGTAATCATATTAAACTCTGGACCTTCATGTCTCTATCTATCTCTGGCATATGCTCGTTTCTATTTTAGCAGTTCAAATGTTGACGTAGTTATTTAATTATAAATAAATTTTAAAATGGTTTAAAGATGCATTAAATAAATATAAATAGTATATTCATTAATTAAACTTTCTTTTATAACTTTTTATAAAACTAATGCAATACTAACACATATCACAACCAACTAAAAAATTAACAAATATTTTAAATATTTAATATTTTAATTAAAGCAACCTTGCACTCTCTCTGCATTGAAATATAACGAAATTCCAGTATGTACGTCTTTATAAATTTACAGAATTCAGTTAACTAAATGTCCAAAAAGTTGAAATACTTGTATATAAAACTTTATTTAATCAGTAATTTAGCCACAAACACAATTTTGTGAAGTATCCACAGCACTTCTACTAAAATAAAAACACATGATTCTATATAGTAAACATATACGATATACTCGTTAATGTTAATAAATGCTTTATATATATACTTCAACTTTTTACCAAGATCTTGTGGTACTTGTATTTAAACAATTTTATTAATATTTATATATTATTGTTTTTTAGTTAAACATTAAACAAAAACAAAAATGTTATCTAAAATTCTACTCAGATAAGGAGTACCGCAGTAACCACATAAGCAGCAACAAATGCCAACAAAAATGAAAGAACATTTTTGACACAAATCAAATATTTTATGATAAAATTATATTATAAATATACTATATACAAAAGTATATATGGGAGTAGTTTAGATGTTTAGATAGACTGGCACATGTCGAGAAGTATCTTCCATAACACAAGTATCTATTAACTTTAACACGTCCTTCCAATTTGCAAGTTTGACGTACATTAATGCACACATGTCAGGGGCACTTAAAAAAGTATTGTTCAGATACATATTTTCGCTGTTATATTTAACTAATTTTTGTTTTTGTTGCTCATATTATTCTTGTCAATTTTTTTGTTTTAATAAAATTCAATGTTAAATTATTTTGTAAAAAATTTAATAAAAATCAATTAAGAAAACTAAAAATAAACAGTATTCATTTATAAAAGTATTCATTCAGTAACCATGGTAAATGGTAGCACGACAAGAAAATTCTAAACTTAGGCAATAATATATTAAAGCAGAGTTTAAATAAGTTGAGTATATCTGAATTTATAAAAAAAAATAATTTAATTTAATCATATATTTAAGTTGACATATATGATACTGTTAAATCAATCTTGACAAACGTTTCTCAAAGAAAAAGCAGAGTACGCCATCTATTATATATATATGAAGGCTCGACATGACACGACAAGTGGTAAGGATATATAAAGGTAGTAATGCTATTTATATACATAATTATATAATTATACCTTTAATTCATTATTATCTGCAAACCAATATCAAAGTAAGCTTGGCTCAACAAGACTTTCAGTGGTAAGGATATATAAATATAAATAAATAATATATATAACAAATAAATAATAAATAATATATGTATATAATAAATAATTTATATATCCTTACCACTGAACCTTTTATTGAGCCTAGCTTATTTTAATATTGGTTTGCAGATAATAAAAAATTAAAGGAATAATTAAGTTATAAGGTTGTATCTTATAAAATAACAAGGTATAGGTGTAGTTACAAGGTATGGTTCTTAAAATGCTCAAATTAGATTTGGCAAGAAATAAACAATCAAAAACATTTTCTGATTGTAAAAACCGTTATAAGGTATAATACTTAAAATACTCGAGGAGTTTGACTTGATAAAAAATAAGCCAGAATTTTATACTATGGTACATACATTTTTAAAATGGTTTGTTTCAGTGGTCCTATACTTTAAATAATTGGTTCAGTTTAGAAAACAGAGGAAATATGACATTATTAAATGACATATTAAAATATTTACTTTACAATCAAAAGAATTTCATAAAAAAAAATATATTATCATCCTTACATTTACTTTTTATATAATGATGATTTGGTTGGGTTACACTAAGAGGTTGGAGGTTTCGATACAGTACGAGGTCTTTAAATAAACAGTTAAAGAAATTAGTTGGTTCTATGTGTTAATATATAAGGAATCTACATAAAACATTTAAATATATTTAAATAAGAAATGGACTTTGTATTTACTGTAAAAAAATCACTATAAGTTTCTCGGTTATGACTGTAAAAAAATCTCTTAATTATACTTGAGTATGACTTGGAAAGCTATAGAAAAATCTCCATAAAATATTTGAGATATATGAGTTCTCCGTAAAATACTTGAGTATGACTTGGAAAGCTATAGAAAAATCTTCATAAAATATTTGACTGTGATTTGGTAAGTTGTAGAAAAATTTCCATATAATTATCAACTATGACTTGGTAAGAAACAAGAAATCTGGCTATAAGGTTGCTGACTATAAATACATTTGACAAAAAATTTAAGTTTAAGATATTTATTACTTAAATGTTTGTTTGGTCACTTTCTTGGTATACGTATACTGTGACAGATCTTTATATAAAAATTATTGGAAACATTGATATTAATTTGGAAGCAACTAACATGTATACTTAAATATTATCTGCAGGGTGTATTAGTTAAAACTTAGATAGACATGACTTCATATATTAATAGAAAGCGTTTCGAGTGATTGCGAACATAAAACAAAATTCACTGAAGGGGGAGTTGAAGACCCTACCACAATCAGTCCATGAAAAATCTATAAAGGATTGACATAGTTGTATTGTCTACTCAATTGAATCACTCTGAAGGCGACAAAATAAATTTTATTTAATTGATGGTTTGTTTTTTGGTAGTTTATGTAATAATTCCGGATACTTTTTACATAGCACGCGACTATATAATATAAATTGAAATTTTTTTTTGCGGTTGTGTGATTTTGATAATTACAGTAAGAAGTTCTCTCATACTGTAAAAATATTCTAAAGCACAAAAATATGGAATAATAAAAAATTTCCTAATAATTTCATTGTGTATAATAGTAATAAATAAAAAAAAATTAAAATTTAATTAAAATGTTTATTTAATTATTTTGTGTAAGTGAAATTGAAAAATAACACTAACATTAGCTTAAATTATTTAAAAATAAGCAATGTGTTTTTTTTTTGTAAATTATGCATAACTAAAATTTTATTTTTATTCAAATTTTTTAAACAATAAACAATATAAACAATATAAATAATTTTTTTCATATTATTTCTGATTGAGTCAAACTTATTAGTTTGCAATATATGCACATGAGTGCTTTTCATGAATATCAATTAGAGACCACCCTCAAAAACACGAGAACTTATTTTAACTTAAATAATATATTCATTGTTTTTTTTTTTTTGTAAAATTGTTTATATATGTATATATGTGTTATACATTTAAATTTTTATTTTTTTTTTCAGCTTAACTAAGTTCAAGTAAATAATCGCTTAAAGTTCGGCTTAAATTGATTTAATTGCATTGGCAAGAACCAAAAATGTAATCAGTAAACTTATTTCTGCCTTGAGAGTGTAAACGGCCATTAACACTTAAATTGCTACAACTAATACTGGTTATATATATATGTATATATATATATAGATATATTTGCAAGCACATGATGTACATTTATAAATTGTATATTTTTTTGGAATTTTTAATGTCCGTCGTTGGAGTTCGCACATTTGCAACTTAATTGACACATTATTAGATTTTGTGGAATGCACCACAGTGCTTTGCTTTCTTTGAAAATGATTCTTTTAATTAATTATTAAAATACATTTTGTTTTTAAATTACTATGAAAAGTTTGCTGTATAACGAAATGACTATGAATCAGACTTTTGGTATTTTTAACGATTTATTTATTAATTTATTCCATACTTTATATTTTGGTTTCTTGAGCTTTGCTGCAGTTATTCTGTATTTTGTATTTTGTATTTTGTGTGTGAATTAAGAAATAAGTAAATATATATAAGAATAAAATACATATATACACAAATAAAGCATTAATTTGCATATATATTATAAATCACTTTATCTTTGGGCTTTAAGCATTACTTTATATCTCGGCTCAATGGCTCAATATCTTAATACATATGCCATTTGTCATAATTAAACTTACGCGTACTACAGATAAATACTTACACACCCATTTTTGTTGACTCATTTGGTAGATACGAGGTTGGTAAGCTGTAAGGGGAGCACAATTGTAATTCATTCATAAATTTTTGTATTTATTATTTATTTTGCCTTAATACTTCCTACTGAGTTACACCAGATATTTTCTGTTTTTTATTAATGAAGTTCATATTTTCAAGTAGAAATATATATTTGCTCTTAGTTGATCTACGTAGTTGATATTACGTAGTTGCTACGTGTAATTCGTCAAACCTCTATGCAACAGGCTCGTAAATATAAAAGTATCTCAACTTTTCAGTTAAGTTGTCTCGTTATCTTCAACTTTAACAATTGTTTAATACAAACAACCTTTTCATTGAAAATAAAATCTGTTCAACATCATTCAAAAAATAGGTCATAATTAAATCTTAAGTCAACTTGGTTGTTATCCGTACAATTAAGTTCAGACACGTTTGAGTCCTTCCCAGAAACACCGCTGGAAAGTAATTTTTTGACAAACAGGCTTTGCTGTAAATTTGGAAGAATTACACTACTTACATTGTGACCGAAAAGTTTTCGGAAATTCTCATTTAAAATTCGCGCGCTGTATATTTTTCGATATTTTAAGTTTATGTAGTTTGGCAGCACTGTCCTTAATTACTATGCCAAAAATGAGCGCGATCTGTCAGACAGTTCGTTTACGGCAGCTGTTGAAACCAGTTCACCTCAGTAGTGCGTTGCGAAAAAAACAATGGAAAAAAATATTGAACAAAGAGTTTGCATCAAATTTTGTTTTTCGAACGAAATTTCGTGTGCAGAATCGTTGCGAATGCTACAAAAGGCTTATGGGGAATCAGTTTTATCGAAAACTCAAGTTTATGAGTGGTACAAAGCCTTTCAGGACTGTCGTACGACCGTCGAAGACATGCCGCGTTCTGGACGACCTTCGACCTCTACCACCGACGAAAACATTGAAAAGGCAAAGGAAATCGTGTTCAAAAATCCTCATGTGAGTGTTAGAGAGATAGCACGAGAGCTAGGCATCGGTCGTGAGATGGCTCGTTTGATTTTGGTGGACAATTTGTGTATGCGACGTGTCAACGCCCGGCTTGTTCCGATTCACCTCAATTTGTTCAACATTATCAACGATTTTAAGGCCAAACATTCAATAAATACCATCGAACA